GGTGACTGGGTCAGTGAGTGATTGAGTGGGTGAGTGAGTGGGTGAGTGAGTGAGTGAGCAGGTGAGCGGCTGGGTGAGTGATTGAGTGATTTGGTGAGTGAGTGGGTGAGTGGCTGGGTGAGTGCTTGGGTGAGTAGATGGGTAAGTGAGTGAGTAGGTGAGCGGCTGGGTGAGTGATTGGGTGAGTGATTGGGTGAGTGAGTGGGCGAGTGAGCGGCTGGGTGAGTGAGTGGGTGAGAGAGTGGGTGAGTAGATGGGAAAAACACCAGAAAACTGCGGCGTCCGAACCTCGACGATGATTGGTCCCCATCTCGATGACGTCTCAGGCCAGTGCGTGCTGGAGAGAAATCCACTAAATGTAACAATTGGACATCTGGCAACTACCTGATGATAAGTGTTGTACCTATCAGCGAAACGTCGGACACAATTGTTACATGCTTGTGGATTGCTTTCCAACATCACCAGTGCGCTGCTGATTCAGCAACACGTTGGTCTCGTGTGCTCGTCACGTGCTCACTTCGATGTGACGGGTGGCTGAGGGTGGGCGACACAAACATGTTGCTCACTCGGCGATCTGACCCAAAACACTCAATCAAGAATCGTAACATTGGTAAGAAGAATGGCCGTAGCCAGAAACGTCCCCTCGTCCCCTATTAAATATTTCACCTATTAGGGCCGCACACACAGCGGTCCCAAAAAAAATCTCACTTTGGCAGTGGATCGCGAGATTCGACAGAGGGCGCTGTTTCACGGTCCAAGCGATTTCCGTTTTGACCTGGGTGATGTTTGAGTGTTGGGTTGTGTGTGTGTTGGGGTGTGCGTGGGTGTGTTGTGTTGGGGTGTGTGTGTGTGTTTGTATTGGGGTGTGTGTGTTTATGTTGGGGTGCGTGTGTGTGTGTTGGGGTTTGTTTTGTGTTTGTTGTGTTGGTGTGTGTGTGTTTGTGTTGGGGTGTGTGTGTGTTTGTTGTGTTGGGGTGTGCGCTTGTTTGGTGTGTTGGGGTGTGTGTGTGTGTTGGGGTGTGTGTGTGTGTTGTGTTGGGGTGTGTGTGTGTGTGTTGGGGTGTGTGTGTGTGTGTGTTGGGGTGCGTGTGTTGGTGTGTGTATGTTGGAGTGTGTGTGTGTGATTGTGTTGGTGTGTGTGTGTGTTTGTGTTGGGTGCGTGTGGGTGTGTTTGTCTTTGTTGTGTGTGGTGGGGAGCGGTAGTGTAGCGGTTAGCGCTACGCTGCGCTACGAACCTGGCGACCCAGGTTCGATTCCCACTCACGGCCAACACCAGTGACGATTATCTGAACCGGTCCCGGTCCTGGGCCTCCCCTAGGTCGACTCGGCCTCAAATGAGTACCTGGTGCGGTATGTAAACATCGCCACTGGGGAAACAAAGGCGGTCAGGCGTGGTGCAGGCCACCCAACCCCTCGTGTGCAGTGCCGACCTTCATAGGCGCTCGCTAACAGCACTTGCCCCAACAGTCTGTTCAGGCTATACGGGGGATCTTTGTGTGTGTGTGTAGACGTGGTGTGTAAGAAACAAAGGCGGTCCGGCGGGGAGTTGGCTAAACCACCCTCTCGTGCAGAACCTGGCCTTGATAGCGCTCGCTAACGCACCTGTGCCTCCTCACCTGTGCCTCCTCACCTGTGCCTCCTCACCTGTGCCTCCTCACCTGTGCCTCCTCACCTGTGCCTCCTCACCTGTGCCTCCTCACCTGTGCCTCCTCACCTGTGCCTCCTCACCTGTGCCTCCTCACCTGTGCCTCCTCACCTGTGCCTCCTCACCTGTGCCTCCTCACCTGTGCCTCCTCACCTGTGCCTCCTCACCTGTGCCTCCTCACCTGTGCCTCACCCCCGTATTTAAGCTCGGAAGCGAATGAGCTATTGTGCTCGGATGGGTGGCCACCATGCATACGAGGTGCCATAGGCTCCTCCGTTGCAGGAAACCCCATTGTTGTCCTGTACCCCGCTCCAGAGTCTATGCTCCCCGCTGTCAGCAACACGCACGAACTAGCATGGTGAAGCATGGTGATGGAAACCCTGCGCAATCACAAAGGCTGATGAGATGCGTCAATTGCGTGTCATGATTGTGTCACGTGCCGAGACAGTTTTATGTTAAGGAAGCGGAGTCTGCTCGTGTATCTTGTCACTCAGATTCTCTCCCCCCCTCCCCAACCCCCCTACCTCCACTGACCAGCGTGGTGAAGTATGGTCGATCAAACGAAGCCAGCCATGACCGGCACGCCGCGGGTGCCGGCAGTGAGCTGACGAAGCGGCCCGCACCACGTGGGCTGCTGGGGCGGCGTTCGATCGCCCGGAAAGACACCGAAGCACCGTTCCGCAAAACCGCGCGCGTCCTCAATGCAATTGCTTCCGATGGATGTTTCCACTTCATTTGATTCTTCAATTTAACTTTAATGTTGTACGACGCGTATTGTAAATGTACGCGTGTTTGGGCTCTCTGGATAAGGGGCTCCCTCCCTCCCCCAGCCCCCACGCCGTGCGGGTCGTCGGGGGTTTATTTGACCGCTGTGGGTCGGTACCGGGGCTCGGTCAAGGCCCGTGAAAGGCAACGAATAGACGTGGAAGCAAAGACGTGCAGTACAACTATAGATTGATTTACATTTTTTTGACATATTTCCCTCGCTTAATGCGGGTTCGGTTTGTGCGATTTCGCGCTGTATATGCGGATAACCTATTACTGCCCAAAATTCGCTTCGTGTGGTTACATGCGGCTATGTCGTGGGACAACTTTGTGTTGTGTGTACTGTGTCTGTACTGTGTGTGTGTGGGTACTGTGTGTGTGTGGGTACTGTGTGTGTGTACTGTGTCTGTACTGTGTGTAGTGTGTGTACTGTGTGTGTGTGGGTACTGTGTGTGTGTACTGTGTCTGTACTGTGTGTGTGTGGGTACTGTGTGTGTGTGGGTACTGTGTGTGTGTACTGTGTCTGTACTGTGTGTAGTGTGTGTACTGTGTGTGTGTACTGTGTCTGTACTGTGTGTGTGTGGGTACTGTGTGAGTGTACTGTGTCTGTACTGTGTGTAGTGTGTGTACTGTGTGTGTGTGGGTACTGTGTGTGTGTACTGTGTCTGTACTGTGTGTAGTGTGTGTACTGTGTGTGTGTGTGTACTGTGTGTGTGTACTGTGTCTGTACTGTGTGTAGTGTGTGTACTGTGTGTGTGTGGGTACTGTGTGTGTGTACTGTGTCTGTACTGTGTGTAGTGTGTGTACTGTGTGTGTATATTGTGTGTGTACTGTGTGTGTGTGGGTACTGTGTGTGTGTACTGTGTCTGTACTGTGTGTAGTGTGTGTTTACTGTGTGTGTGTACTGTGTGTGTACTGTGCGTGTGTGTACTCTGTGTGTATATTGTGTGTGTACTGTGTGTACTGTGTGTGTGTAGTGTGTGTGTACTGTGTATGTGTGTGTGTACTGTGTGTACTGTGTGTGTGTACTCTGTGTGTATATTGTGTGTGTGCTGTGTTTCAAGTTTCAAGTTCATTTATTAGGTATAGCCCTGTGAGCCATTTGGCTCTTGAATCGGGTGCAACCGCAACAAACAAAAAACAAAAACATGAACAAAAAGCATCTTAAAGTGAATATGTGACTAAGTGCAAACAGAAAATCCAAGAAAAGACAGCAAAATATTGCAGAAAAAACACCGTACACCAACGCTGTGTGCAAAAATCCCAGTGGGATGCAAGTCAAACAACAACAACAACCACAAGACAACTTAGATTAAGGCCATCAGTCCAACTCTGTACTACTGTGGGTACACTGCGTATGGTTATTAACCTGTTCTCATTCAGTCTTGCTCTGGGGCACTCACCCCTGTCTCTCTCTCTCTCTCTCCCTCGTCCAATAGTCATTCTGCCGGTATTAATATCTTTATAACTCAGAGCCCCTTGGGCGGGGAGACATTTTAGTCTCACAAAGCTGTGTGAATTCACAGCTGGATGAAGGCGTGCCCACGTTGTGTTGGTCATCAGGTGGGGGGGGGGGGGGGTTGTTTGACCATACTTCACCACGCTGGTCAGTACTTAGCACTCCCATCGTTTGTTTTACTTGTTTGTCGTTCTGACCCGCTACTACTGGACGTCTGCAAATAAGAGCTTCATAGCTCCTCGGATTCTTCCAGGTTGAATATAGACTCTGGTTGTGACCACGGCCGCTTTCAGAAGTTCAGATACAGACTCGCTGCGAATGTTAACCGTGGCCGGGAATAGAATTCACATTTTAGCCGTGGTCGAAAGAATAACTCAGGTCGCCGGGTTTGTACCGCAGTGGGCTAACCACCTCGCCTCCACTCCCCCGAGAATGGGATCTCATACTCGGCCATTCTCCATCCACTGCTGGATGAAGGCTTCCCACGCGCCATCGCCAACCCGTTCCGCTTGAGCGCTGCTGCCATCTCTCGCTCCGGTAAATCTGTTACCACGCAACCTTGGCACGTGTTCGGAACCGATGGGCCAACATTGGCCCAACTTTCCATGCGTACTGGGAATTCACTCATCCCTGGCTGAAATTAAAGGGCATGTGACACTGCTATGTATTTTGTAACCTATATCTCTCCACGAAAACTTATGCTGATATTTTTGCTCTTTTAATTAATATTTATAATCGTAATAAAATCATTTATAATTATAATTTTGTGGTTATGGGGGTCTGGTTTCTGCGCTCCACGTAACCAACGGTGTAAGCTCCGTTAATGACAGCTTTTTGTTATAAAAATAAACACAATAAAATGTAATTTCAAGAGCTTAAATATTTAACAATTTCGGCCGGCTCTGTCCGGGAAAAAAAATCTCTCCGCAAGCACCACACCACATCCATCCAGGCTCCATCTCGCTCTGGTTGTGGCTACTCACCACGTCCGAGCCTTCTGCTGCCCACCGGCTCTGGGTGTCGGCATGGGCAGCGAGGAATCGCGCGGGAGAGAGCGAGGGGGGTAGGGGCAGTCGAGCTGGGGGGGGGGGTGAGTTCGGGTGGGAGTTGCCGCGTAAAGTCGCGCGTCGTTCAGGGTGGAGCAAGACATCTCAACGCGAGAAAGCGAGGGAGGGAGAGAGAGACAGGGAGACGCCCACAGTCTGCCGTCTGTCACCGACTCCAAGGCTCCATCACCGACTCTCTGCATAGCTCCGCCAAAGCTTCACCAAGGTTCCAACCAAAGTTCCAAGGGAAGCCGCTTCTCGCATTCGTCGTCGTCTCTCGTTCCGGTGGGTTGCTCCGGTGAGATCAGACGCCGGTGAGAGATCAGACGGCGCTCTCATTCGCAGCCGCCGCGCCTACGTCGAAGTGAACCCGGCTTTGACGCAAGAGCGAAAAGTCGTGATTTTGTTTGCACAACTTACGAGCAAAACATCAATTAGAGGTACCCTCACCCCCCATCATCATCATCAGCCGTCGCTTATCGTCGTTAATTACCAGGAGAAGCCGTCGGTGGGGCGCGACGCGGTTGCAACGTCGGTGGCTGGGTCGAGCCAGAGCGGCGGTGTTGCATAAATTAGCTCGTGACCAGCCCGTGATTTAACTCGTGATTAACTAACTTGTGATTAACTAACCCGTGATTAACTCGTGATTAACTAACTCGTGATTAACTAACTCGTCATTAAACCGTGATTAGACCGTGATTAAACCGTGATTAGACCGTGATTAAACCGTGATTAAACCGTGATTAAACCGTGATTAACTCGTGATTAACTCGTGATTAAACCGTGATTAACTCGTGATTAACTCGTGATTAACTCGTGATTAAACCGTGATTAACTCGTGATTAACTCGTGATTAAACCGTGATTAACTCGTGATTAACTCGTGATTAAACCGTGATTAACTCGTGATTAACTCGTGATTAACTCGTGATTAACTCGTGATAAAACCGTGATTAACTCGTGATTAAACCGTGATTAGACCGTGATTAAACCGTGATTAGACCGTGATTAAACCGTGATTAAACCGTGATTAACTCGTGATTAACTCGTGATTAAACCGTGATTAACTCGTGATTAACTCGTGATTAAACCGTGATTAAACCGTGATTAGACCGTGATTAAACCGTGATTAGACCGTGATTAAACCGTGATTAAACCGTGATTAACTCGTGATTTAACTCGTGATTAAACCGTGATTAGACCGTGATTAAACCGTGATTAACTCGTGATTAAACCGTGATTAAACCGTGATTAACTCGTGATTAAACCGTGATTAGACCGTGATTAAACCATGACTAGCTCGTGATTAAACCGTGATTAACTCGTGATTAAACCGTGACTAGCCCGTGATTAACTCGTGATTAAACCGTGGCCAGCTCGTGATTATTAATTAGTCGAGGTGTGCTGTTGGGCAAGCACGGCGCAGACGTGTTGGCACCGGTGTTTTGCAAAGCTCATGAGAAACGGCCCCAGCGATTCTCGACTTTCCTGAATTACAGGGCACTGGGCGAGAGGCGCGCTCGTGATGAGCCGCACGACTCGTGCGTGTGATTAGTAATTATCTGTGTCGTGTGGTGCAAGGGTGTGCGTGCATGTACGTGTTCCCACGTGTGTGTGGGCCGTTGAGACAGAGATGGTGTGTGTTTGATCGTGGCGACCCGAGTACGATTCATATTGACGAATAATAACAGTAGGGAACATTTGATCCGGTGCTGGGCACCCCCTACGTCGACTCCGCCTCAAATGAGTACCTGGTGCGGGGTATAGACATCGCCACTAGCGAGACAAAGGCGGCCGGGCGTGGTGCTGGCCAGCCACCCTCGTGTGTCGTGCCGGCCTTCATAGGTGCTTGCTAACATCACTTTAGGCTAAACGGGGGATCGTTGTCTTTGTGTGTGTATGTGTATATGTTTTTATGTATATGTGTATATATGTGTATATGTAACGCGTAACAATTACAAAAGGAGCGGTGGCGCAGTGGTTAGCGGACTGCGCTATGAACTCTGCTCACCGAGGTTCGCTTCCCGCTCACGGCCAAAATTCAGTGACGAATATTTGAACAGTTCCTGGGCCTCCCCTAAGACGACTAAGCCTTCAATTAATAGTTGGTGCGCAAACATCACCACTGGGGAGACAAAGGCGGATAGGCGTGGCGTGGGTCACACCTCTTCGTCGTGTGCCGTGCCGGCCCTTGCCCCAAACAGCCTGTTACGGCTATACGGGGGACCTTTGTATTTGTTCGTGTGTGTGAATTAATTTGCGTGAGTAATGTATTTTGATTTAAAGCTTTCGTGACTGCAGGGATTCATATTCTTGGTTCTTTCGGTAAAGTCACGTAGAAAGTCCTTGTGACTTTACCGAAAGAACCAAGAATATGAGTAATGTAAGTAAAGGTGTTTGAGTTTACGTGAGTGAATGTGTGTGTATGTGTATTTAGGAATGTGTGCGTAGATATGTGTTCGTGATGATATGTGTCTCTTCGTGTGTATTTATTAATGGCTGTGTATATATGTGCATCGGTCGACTCAGCCTCAAATGATTACCTGGTGCGATGTTGTAAACAGTGCCACTGAGGAGATAAAGGTGGCGGAGCGTGGTGCAGGCCACTCACCCCCCCTCGTGTGCGTTTGCCTTAGCGGTCTGTTAAGGCTATACGGGAGATGTGTGTGTAGTGTGTTTGTGTGTGTGCAGTGTGTGTGTTTGTGTGTGTGAACATCATCACTGATATAGCTGTGGCGTGATTCTGACAATACCACCCCATCGCGTGCCATGTGGGTGGGCTTTAACAGGCACTCGCTTGACAGTATTTTCCCCATCAGTCTATGCAGGCTACATTGGGGGGTTTGGGTCTTTGTATCACTGCATCCATAGCTATCATACTATATTAGACAAGTTTTGCTGGCTGGCTGTCTGACTGGCTGGAGAGACGGGGGAACGGACGGTCACGTCACGTGGATGCTGCTAATCTGCTTCTGTGTAGTGGTAGCGTGTTGTGCAGTGTGTGTGTGCAGTGTGTGTGCGTGTGGCGTGTTGTACTTTACTATGTGTATGTCAGGGTGGCCACTCAGAGCTCTCCCTCCACCTGTGGCTCAGGCAGACAACGCTTGGTGTCGGAGTGGGCGTGGAGGTCAGGATTGACCAGTTTTACCAAGAACGGTAAAGTGGTCATATAAAAGGGCAATTATCTGTAAGTTCGTACACCTGGTGCAATGGTCGTCACAATGTGAACCCAGAGGCTGGCGGGGGTGGAGGGTTGGAGGAGAGGGGCCGTGGGGGGGGGGGGCGGAGATACACCTCCCCCCCCACCCCTAACTGGTTTCTCCCCCCGTGTGTAGAGGATGAGCGCCGCTTCGCCTCGGAGTCGGCACGGCTCCATCAGGAGCCAGGGCCGGAGCTGCCTCGACATCGTCCGCAGTCTGCACCCGGGCCGCGGCTCGCTTCGGGGCCAGTCCCCGGCTCCCTCCTGCTCGCCCTGCAGCCCCATCACCCCGCCCGACGTGTGGGGCACCCCGCCCTCCGGCCCGTCGCCCACGCCGCCCGGAGCCCCCCCGCATCGCCAGGGTCCCTGGGGCCCCGTCGTGCCCGCCAGGGGGTCCGCTGCTCCCTCCCCCGCGCCATCCCCCGTCCCCTCTCATGGCCGCCCTGCTGTGATATCGCCCCCCCTCTTCTTCCACTCGCGCTCAGCTGCCCCCTCCCCTGCCCCCTCCCACTCGTGCTCAGCTGCCCCCTCCCCTGCCCCCTCCCACTCGCGCTCAGCTGCCCCCTCCCCTGCCCCCTCCCACTCGCGCTCAGCTGCCCCCTCCCCTGGCCCGTTCCACTCGCGCTCAGCTGCCCCGTCTCCCACGCCGCTGTCGGCTCCGTCTCCCCGAGTGTGGATCCAGCGCCGCCACTCCATAGCGGAAGGGAGGCTGTCATCCAAGCTGAGGGTGCGCACTGATGTGACTGTCACTCACTCACTCACTTAGTCACTCACTTACTCACTCACTCACTTAGTCGTTCAGTCTTTCAATCGCTCATTTTGTCACTCATCACTTTACCCTCCACCCATTCACTCACCCACCCCACCCATTCACCCACCCCACCCATCCATCCACCCATACACTCACTCACCTATCCTTAAACTCACCCACAGCATCACTCACATTCCACCGATTCATCCACCAGTCCACCCACTTACTCATCTACCCATCCACTTGCTCACCCATTCGCTCAATTGCCTACTCGCCTCTCCACGTACCCATCCATCTCGCTCATCCACACTCACCCACACTCACCCACACTCACCCATTCACCGACCCCCCCTCCACTCCAGCACGTCCGCGACATCAGTGCCCTCCGCTCGCCTCCCCTCGACTCGCTGCGTCCAAGTTCATCTTTGTCTCCGCGTCGCCGTCACCTCGAGATGTTAATGAGGCGCTCACTCCCACGGCCCCGGGTTACCTCGTTAGCATGCAGGGCGGGTGCAGAGTGGGTGCAGGTGGGGTGCAGGGTGTTTCGTGCAGGGTGGGTGCAGGGCGGATGGCCAATGCACAGCAGCAGCAGAGGCAGCATCAAGAGTTTCGGTAGCAGAGGCGTCGCCTGAGCCCGCGGCGCTTCACGCAGATTCCAGCGAGACTCACAGACGCCGCGATGCAACTCGACTCCATTCCGAGCGTGGGCCGTGTGGCCAGGCCGGCGTCTTGCCGCACGCGTGGCTACTGTGTGTGTGGGGGGGTTGGGGTAGATAGTGGGGAGGGGAGGGCGCGGGCGTGTAGTGGTCAGTGCCCTGCTCTACGAACCCGGCGACCCGAGATCGATTCGATCTGAACGACTCAACGCCACGACTCGTGGGGTCCTCGGGCTTCAACGTCTCATGGAATCATCATTCCCCCCCCACCCCCCCCCCCCCCGCAGGATGAGAGGGGTCTCTCGGGCGTCGTCAACGGGGCCCCCTCTGGGGGGCGCCGCTCAGTGACCCCCCTGCAGCAGGGCGCTGCCACCCGGAACGGGGGTCCCACCGCGGTGCCCGCCTCCGGCCGGCGGGGCTCCTCCGCCAACCCGCAGCTCCTCAAGTACCTGATGCAGGGCGAGAGCGTGCGGGACGGGCTCGCCAGGGGGGGCCGGGCCGACGGTGGGGGCTGGGATGGGGGCCCCCCCGGCCACGCGGAGGCGCCGGGGGAGGAGGCGACACTCCCTGAGCTCTTGCAGAAGGGGTTCGACGAGGTGTGGGGGGGGGTACGGGGGGGAGGCACGGGGGCACACTGCACTTGCTACTGACAGTGTTCGTATCGAGGCTTTCCTGGGTCAACACTCGTAAAGATGATGCTACTACCATTCAAATTCCTAGAGGTTCCTGACTGGCTGCTGGCTGGGCTCCTCTCCACCACCCCAACAGCAACTCTCTTCTTGTTGTTGTTGTCAGTGGCGGCTGCGGGGACGTTGCCACCGAAACTAGCTGGGTAACTGGCTGCGCGGGATTTTCCGTGTTTCAAATAAACATTGAGGTTGAATTGAAACTGCGGAGGATAAAGTTCGGAAGACGCTTAAGGGGTAGCGACACCGAAGAGGAGGGATGAACGAACGCTGAAGATCGTCCGCGGTCCATGGAATATGGCTCTAGCTTATCAATTTATTCGTTCACTAAAATATTCCTTAAATCCTATAAAAAAAAAAAATTTCAAACCTGACGATACATATAATCTTGCCGTTTTATTATAACGTAAGCAGGCGGATGGCTCTTCGTGCTGCGGGTACAGGAGGATTGTGAGAGGAGCGTGACATTGACAGCTGTCTCGTAGCTTCCGTTGCATAGCAACAACGACGGCCTCTCCACTCGTGATGATGATGATGATGCTGCTGCTGATGATGATGATGCTGCTGCTGCAACCACGGCTATGAGTGGCATCCTGCTGGCACTGCTACCATCGCTGCTGCTACTGCTGATACCACATTGCCTCCATGCCTCCCCCCCCCGCCACCCTGTCCCTATGTCTCTGTGTCTCTGTTTCTGTCTCAGTGTCTCAGTGTCTCTCTGTTTCTGTCTCCGTGTCTCTGTGTTTCTCTGTCTCAGTGTCTCAGTGTCTCTCTGTTTCTGTCTCCGTGTCTCTGTGTCTCTCTGTTTCTGTCTCCGTGTCTCAGTGTCTCTCTGTCTCAGTGTCTCTGTGTCTCTCTGTTTCTGTCTCCGTGTCTCTGTGTCTCTGTTTCTGTCTCCGTGTCTCTCTGTTTCTGTCTCCCTGTCTCTGTGTCTCTCTGTTTCTGTCTCCGTGTCTCTGTGTCTCTCTGTTTCTGTCTCCGTGTCTCTGTGTCTCTCTGTTTCTGTCTCCCTGTCTCTGTGTTTCTCTGTTTCTGTTTCCGTGTCTCTGTATCTCTCTGTTTCTATCTCCGTGTCTCTGTGTCTCCATGTCTCTCTAGGTGTTTCTATGTGTCTGTGTGTCTGTCCCTGTGTCTCTATGTGTCTGTATATCTGTCTCCGTGTCTCTATGTCTGTATGTCTCTCTATGTGTCTGTATTTTTTCTGTATGTATGTGTCTGTATGTCTGTTTCCGTCTCTCTATGTGTCTGTATGTCTCTCTGTGTCTCTATGTCTCCCGTGTTGCCATGTCTCCCGTCCCCCGCACCTCCGATTAGCGTGGTTGGCTACATACGGTGCAAAAGAAGTTCAAATACACAGTTACGTCTGTCTCCGTGTCTCTAAAACTCTATTCCTGTACCCCCTCCGTTTGTCTCCGTGTCCCTATGTGTCTGTCCCCGTGTCTCTATCGCTCCACCTGTATTCACCTTTCTACCTGTTCACGGTGTCCCCCATGTCTCCCCGCGTGTCCCCGTCTCTTCCCCGTGTCCCCCCGCGTGTCCCCCCGCGTGTCCCCCCGTGTCTCCCCCGTGTGTCTCCCCCGTGTGTCCCCCCGTGTGTCCCCCCGTGTGTCCCCCCGTGTGTCCCCCCGTGTCTCCCCTCTGTCTCCCCCGTGTCTCCCCCGCGTGTCCCGGTCTTTCCCCCGCATGTCCCCGCGCGTGTCCCCCGCGTGTCCCTCCCGTGTCTCCCCTCTGTCTCCCCCGTGTCTCCCCCGTGTGTCCCCGTGTCCCCCCCCCCCCCGCGTGTCCCCCGTGTGTCCCCGTGTCCCCCCGTATCCCCCCGTGTCCCCCCGTGTCTCCCCCCGTGTCTCCCCCCGTGTCCCCCACGTGTCCCCCGCATGTCTCCGGTGTCTCCCGTGCCTCCCCGTGTCTCCCCTTGTCTCTCGGTGTGTCCCCCGTGTGTCCCGTGTCTCCCCGCGTGTCTCCGTGTCTCCCCCTGTCTCCCCCTGTCTCCCCCGCGTGTCCCCAGACCCTGGTGATCCTGAAGCAGGCAGAGCTGCCCGAGTCGCGCGCGCGCCGCTTCCGCGCCTCTCTGCAGCAGGCGGCGGCGGCGATCCGCGACGCCCTGCGGGAAGCCAGCTCCCTGCAGCAGCAGCAGCGGCAGCGGCACGCACCCGACACCCGGCAGGTGGGCGAGCTCGCAGCAGCAGCATCGTCAGCAGCGAGCAGCAGCATCATCGTCAACAACAGTATTATTATCAGCAATAGCAGAATCAGCAGCATCATCAGCGAGCAGTAGCAGAATCATCATCAGTAGCATCATCAGCGAGCAGCATCATCGTCAGCAGCAGTATTATTATCAACAGCATCTTCATCAGCAGCAGTAGAAGAATCAGCAGCAGCAGCATCGGTAGCATCAGCAGTATAATCATAAGCATCAGTACTACAATCATCAGTGGCATCATCAGCAGCAGGGGCATCATCATTCTTTTCATGGTCATCATCCTCGTAAACATGCACTTCCGCATCATCATCCTTGACCTCTTCCGCCTACTCCTAATTTGCAATCATCATCACGCTCCTAAATCTCCTCCTCGTCTCCTCCTCACCCCCATCATCATTCTCGTCACTCACCTCCTCATCCTCCGCCTCCTTCTCGCTGTTGGCATTCTCCTCCTGTTTCCGCCACTTTTTCCTCATCCACCTTGGCGTTCACTCACAGCAGCGTGACGTCAACGCGATCATGATCGCAATCAACATTGATCACGATGATCGTCATCAAGATCATCATCATTATCATCACGCTCCCGTTGGTTTATTCAGAGTTGTCCGTTGGTCATTCGTCTCTGAACTCCAGAACCAGGCAAGACGAGGCAGGGCGTGCCGATATGCGGAGTCGTCATCTACACTGAGTTTCATATATTATTATTATCAATCCAGCAGTGGATATATTTGAGTAATGATTATTGCTGTTATGGCTATTTACCTTCGCTGATTCTGATTACTCCTTTTCCAAGAGGATGTGGGGGGGGGGGGGGCGATGATTGCTGCTGTGTAGATTTCGATTGAGTCATCTGCAGTGACATTTTTAATTTTTCGCCAAATGTAAACGTGAAGTCGGCACACAAGGGCCTGCTCTTGCGAACGACGCCGCGGGACATTGCAAGGTCCAGTGCGAGTGAAGCAGACGGCGCGTAGTCGGAGTATTACGGTTGATGTCACATCGCAGTATTAACCGGGGCGGCCGCTGGATTCGAACCGCGGACCTCTGCAGCAGCAACAACAACAACAAGCGGCGGACACGCAGCCTCTGGGCACGAGCGATGATGATGACGCTGACGGAGGTGGTGACGACGTTGAGAAACATCTTCCAACAGATCAATGGCAGAATTCCAGCGCCATCACTCGCAACCGCCGCATGCGGCAGCCGAAGGTCAAGGTGACCTCCTGCCGCTCTCACGGGCCACGCAGGAGGCATCGGTGCCGATATCCTGTCCACAGCCCTGCAGGGCCAGTGGTGGACATGCCACATTCCTCCTGAGCAGCCACTGTTGACTTCCCACCCCCACGTAGAGTGCGATGTGTCAAGGTGATTTTTGTATAGCTCGGAAAGAACTCAAGAGACGAGAAAAGGCTCGGAGAGCTCTTGAGTCAACACGATGACAAACAGCAAACGCGTGCAAAACAAAGTTCAGCAGCGAAGCCCTTCTCACGACGCACTGCTTCTCGCTCGCTCTCTCTTGTCCGAATGCGCTTCTATTTACCCTTCCTTCTTCCTCTTCTTGGCCTTGAGTATACCTGATAAAACATTGATGCCGGTGACGAGGACGACGACGCTTGCCGCCAATGACACTCCGGCCGTGCGTGTCTCGACCTCGCGTCCCTGTGGCACAGAGGTCAGAGGAGATCGCGGAGAAGATGGAACGGCTGCTGCTTGGCCTGGTGCTCGTGCAGAACGAGATCCTGGTCACCAAGGCCTACCTGGGTCCCGAGTCTCCGAGTCGGTACGTTAACACAATAGTAATGGTAATAATACAGTTGTTATCATGTTATTAGTTTAACTCGGAGGGGTTAGGAGGGGGAACCGTGGACGAGTGGGAAGGCAGCAGCAGCCACGCGGAGGTCAGCTGGTGCCAAAATCTCCCCCCCCAACCCACCTCCCAGCTCTGCGGTCCTCTATATATAAGATTATCGGCCAATGAATCCGTGGAACGTAAAACGACTCAATGGCCCGATTCACAAATACGAAGGAGGAGGAGTAGGAAGGCGTCATCACAGCAGCGATGGTTCGCCACTCCGCGACTCCTGACGCAAAAGTGAGGCTCATCAACCACCTCGATGCAAAACCGCGGCTGTCTCTCCACATAGACATCAGCCACACGGAGCAGATCAGCCACAATAACTCCCACAATGATGCCGCGTTGCACCTAACCCTGTCTGCGTGTTACACAAGTGCGTGTGTGTTGTATTTGTTGCACGTGTTACGCGTTACATTCGTGTGTTGGAAGTGTGTATACACCATGTGCTACGCGTGTGTGTGCGTATCTAACATGTGTCACGTGTGTGTCACACGTGTGTACGCTGCGGCAGGCGTGCTGTCGAGATGAACGGAGAACGCGGCCAAATTTTTGTCGAGCCAGAGTCACCGAGCAAGAGGAACTCGCAGGTAAAGAGATCACAGCACAAGTGATGTGATGCCAGCACAGGTGATGTGATGACCGTACAGGTGATGCGATGATAGTACAGGCGATGTGGCCAGAGCACAGGTAATGTGATGACATCAAAGGTGATGTGATGATCGTCCAGCTGACGTGACGACAGTAGAGGTGACGTGACGACAGCACGGGTGACAGGCGGCAACAGCAGCAGCGCGAAACACAGAACAGCGCGCGAGCTCTATCCCATCGACGCAGTTCCCTCTCGGAGGTCGCGACCTCTGCGACGCGTGAGGCCATTAGGCGCCGCCGTCTCGAGCCCGGGCACACATCATCATCATCGTCAGCAGCAGCAGCAGCAGAAGCACCATTCGAGCCTCGTCAACCCGGGGAGTTCGATAGCAGCAGCGCCACGCACCGCCAGGCTCACGATCTGGGCGCCTCCACCGCCTCGTGTCGGCGCCAGGGCGACGGCTCTGGGAGCGCAGAGAGAAATGCGCGCATCGAGGAAGCCTGCCGAGGAAGCCTGCCGAGGAGGCCCCGTCTGTACTTTGTGAACCAGATTCCATTCCCCTCGTCACGGAACGCCCCGCCGTGAAAACAGACGCCGCTCCTGCGTGCAGCTCCCTTCCACTCGTTCCTTCCTTCTCTCTCGCCCTCTCTTGTTCCTCCCCGCTCATCGTCATCATTATCGTCATAATCATCATAATCATCGTCGTCATCATCGTCGTCGTCGTCGTCGTCGTCATCATAATCATCGTCATCATCGTCATCATCGTCGTCGTCGTCGTCGTCGTCGTTGTCGTCATCGTCCCCAACATCTCCGGCCGGTCATTCTTTCTCCCTTTCCTCCTCCTCCTCCTCCATTCCTGCACTGGCGCTCCTCCTTTTGGCGCTCCTCCTTTTGGCGCTCCTCCTTTTGGCGCTCCTCCTTTTGGCGCTCCTCCTTTTGGCGCTCCTCCTTTTGGCGCTCCTCCTTCTGACGCTCCTCCTTCTGGCGCTCCTCCTTTTGGCGCTCCTCCTTTTGGCGCTCCTCCTTTTGGCGCTCCTCCTTTTGGCGCTCCTCCTTTTGGCGCTCCTCCTTTTGGCGCTCCTCCTTCCTCTCTTCCTTCTGCTCATCTTGAGCCCTCCCCGCTTCTTTGTCCGTCTTGGGAGACTCTTCTTGGGATACCTTTCTCTTGTCCACATCCATCACCTCCTTGACTCGTCTACTCCCCGTCCCATAGCGTACCACAGGTGCAAATGTTTTCCGCTACAGCACAGCACGTGTGTGTATACACAATGTGTGTATACACAATGTGTGTATACACACAATGTAAAAAAAAACACAATGAAGACATCAAAGGCGGGCAACCCCTGAGGAGCTGCGCGCTTTTCGTCTGGAGCCACGGACGCAGCAAGCGAGACGGCGCGTGACGCGAGTGGACAAAGCGCGCTGCTGCCCCCCTCCCCCCCGCGCTCTTGACAGGCGGGGGGGGGGGTCTTTTCACGCCGCCGCAGTTCACTGCTGAATAGTGGCGGCCGCCGTTCTGTCGGAAAAAGCCCTGCAGGGAGCCCTCGCGGGCAACCATAAGCACCAGCACCAGCTGCTCCCCGTCGCCTCCCTGCAGTCTCAGGTCGGTAATGATGGGGTTTGTTGGAGTGTGGCGATGAAGCGTCAGGGCACCTCCCACGGTGGAGGGCGGGTGGAGGATTGGGGAGGGGTGGTGTTAACACCGCGACTGCATGTATGTGCGTTGAACTTCTTTCACACCGTACGTAGCCAAACGTGATCATTATAATCGGAGGTGCGGGGGAAGGACTCCAGTAATAGCCCCCCCACCCCACCTCTCACTACGCCTCTCCCGTGTTCTACTTTATACCGAAATTAAGAAATTCAATTTATAATTAGTTTATGTTTGGGTTTCTGATCGTCGTATTTGTGATCTCGGTTTGGTTAACCAGAGCCCTCCACCACCCGACGAGAGAGTCAAACAAGTCCAGTTGGCACGTCACGTGGTACGAACGTGATCCACATCGATGTCTGGGTTATTCAGTCAAACCGGAGGAGATTGGTGATGTTTAAAAGGCCTGAGTGAACGTTGGGCAATTTTGTCCGACGTTTCGCTGGAGATTACACCGAGCGTCATCAGCCGAGACGCTAAACTAAACACCCGCGCATCCACTCGTGAAGTGGTGTTGGCGAGCACCTATCATCTCGCGCACGCAAACCCCAAACCACGGCAATGTGGCACAATTCCCAGATCTCTGTATGAGCCTCCTGGGCGTTCGTATACATATTTGGACAATTTCACAGATCGCTGATTTTAAATACACTGATCCAATTTGAGTTTTTAAAAAAAACCATCGGTTTCATGTTTTGTAATGATTCATAATTCATTATTATTGGTTTGGGAAACGTAATGATGTGGCCAACTTTGTGTAGCTGCGACCGTCCACCACGCGACGTAGTACAAACAACTTAAATTGTCACGTGGGGTACAATCGTTTCAAGGGAGCGCTTGTTATGATTGCGTCGCTTCTCCGCCCTCCGTTTGTTGTTGGAGGGCGACTGCCTCCGACTGCCCAGGAGCAGCGTCCTTCACGAGCCTCCTCCTGTACGACCGGCCTCCTACGGCGGTGCCTCTAGAGGTCTCGCCCTTGCTCACTCCACTGCTCTCACGTCGTCGAGCTTGATAGATCCTCGCGGGACACTGTGTGCTACCTTGGGGGGGTTAAGAGGGCCGGTGGTTGGAGCTGACGGCTGTCTCGCTTCCGTACCAATGGAGAGGGGGGAGGGTGGGCGGGAGGTGGGGGCTGGATGTGCCACTGAACGACACGGAGAGTTCTTCTGTCCTAGCTTGTGATCGCTGATGTCATTTCTCCGCGTTATGCGGTAGACGCGTGAGGTTTCGTACTTTAAAGCGAAGACCGCAAACGGCACGCGCATTACACAGAGCACACGCAATGTTGCCCCACGTTCGACCACATACGAGTGAATTCAAACCGCATATCGTGAATGTTGGGTAGAAATTGGTTCGTCGTACCTCTGCTAAATCTCGCAAAGGCAGCCCGCATACAGAGCGAGGGAAGCCTGTAACCCCGACACGAACCGAGGCACACCTGGGATCGAGAGCCGGTGACCCGCCCCCAGCTTACGGGAAGCCGAGCGGAATACTGTAATTCGATAGTCGAGTTAAGAATACGCGAGGAGGAATGTGAATGCTTTCTTTCCCCACGGCGGGGGGGTCGTCACTATTGTCGTGAAAGGATTCGTCACAATGGGGGCATGCAACAGCGCACGCGATAAGATCACGCACAGAGATAAAGGTCCCCCGTATAGCCTTCAACAGACCGTTGGGGCAAGTGCTGTTTGCGAGTATCCGATTAAGGCGGGCACAGCGCAGCCTGACCCCAACAGCACCCATCGTGTGCCGCCTGCCATTGGTGCAATGCGTCGCAAGCATCAGCAGCACTTGAGAAAGTCGACCTAAGGGGAGACCCCTGACCGACTCAAATATTTACCACTGATATTGGTCGTGAGCTGGAATCGAACTCGAGTCGCCGGGTTCGTGGCGCTGTGCGCGAATAATAATCTTTATAAAGCGCCTTTCATGTTGAAGTATTTTGATGCGCCATCGCTCCGCAAAGATACAGTAAAGATAGAGATCCCCCGTATAGCCTTAGCAGACGTTTGGCGCAAGTGCTGTTAGCGAGCTCCTATGAAGGCAGGCACGGTACCTATATATACAAACAAACACACACATGGTTACGGCCACACATCGCTACGCACACATTACACGGTAGGATAATGAAAGTGTAACCCCTTAGGCGCTATAGTCCTCCGAGAACACACACACACACTGCACACTTACAAAACACAGACACATTCGCCTGTATAGCCTCCATAAATCTGCTGGGTCAAGTACTGTTAGCGAGCACCTATTAATGCCAGAATGGCACACGGGTTAGGGGGGGGGCAAACACCACCCCTACCCCCTTTGTCTCCCCAGCGCTAATGTTTACACACCGCGCCAGGTATTTAAACGATCAAAGTGGCAGCACACAAGACCGGATCAAATATCACTCGCGAGCGATGTCAGTTCGCCCCGGGCGGGAAGTGTACACGGGGCGCCAGGTTCAGAACCATTGCACGTCAAAAATAAAGGGGGACGGGGAAGAAAAATAATGGGGAATCATAATAAAAATGCGGAAATTATGGAAAAGGAACGGAGAAACGGCAGCCAAGTGTCAGGAGATGTGACGAGAGGGGGGGGGGGGGGAGACGCTGCATCGACAGCGTCTGTTCTCACAGGGGGCGGAGGAGAGGGGGCGGCCACGGAAGCCACGTGGTTATGGGAAGCTTGAGCCGATTTCTATAGACGTATGAGGTAACTATTTATACGCCAATGTCATCATAAAAGGTGTGTGTACGTGTGTCCTAACTCGCGTGTGTGTAATCGCGCACCACCACGACCACAAATAATTTGTTTGAGAATGATAATAGGTGCTCACCGCACACACGTTTCCACCCCACACGTCATACTTTTCACACACTCACATACCACGCACACATTCCACTTGCACCCACACACACCCACCCACACACACGCGAGCTACGCAATCTCTCTCCCCTTTCACGTCGGTCAGCTCCACCGCGCGAGCCCTCGCCCGAACCCGGCGCATTTGCCAATTGCCTCTGCCCGAGTCATCGCGTCGCCTGCCTTTGCGCTATAATAATAATTATCGCGCCAACATCCCACCCCCCCTCTCTCTCTCTCGACCCACCCATCCCTCACCCCAACCCCCCGCCTCCTCCATCTCCCCCACCACCCCATCGGCCACCCTCACTCGCCGATCATCTCCTGCGCCCATCCTCGCCGCAGCGCTGCGGGAGCTGCGAGCGCGTCTCTGCCGAGTTGCGAGCAGCACTGGAACGGGAAGGGCGACGCGGGGCGGAGGTCGTCGCAACTCGAGACGCGGAGGTGAGTGAGTGGGTGGGTGAGTTGGTGGGTGAGTTGGTGGGTGGGTTGGGGGGTGGGTTGGTGGGTGGGTGAGTTGGTGGGTGAGTTTGTGGGTGGGTTTGTGGGTGGGTTGGTGAGTGGGTTGGTGGGTGAGTTGGTGGGTGAGTTGGTGGGTGAGTTGGTGGGTGAGTTGGTGGGTGAGTTGGTGGGTGAGTTGGTGGGTGAGTTGGTGGGTGAGTTGGTGGGTGAGTTGGTGGGTGAGTTGGTGGGTGAGTTGGTGGGTGAGTTGGTGGGTGAGTTTGTGGGTGGGTTGGTGGGTGGTTTGGTGGGTGGGTTGGTGGGTGGGTTGGTGGGTGAGTTGGTGGGTGAGTTGGGTGGTGAGTTGGGGGGTGAGTTGGTGGGTGAGTTGGTGGGTGAGTTGGTGATTGGGTTGGTGGGTGGTTTGGTGGGTGGGTTGGTGGGTGGGTGGGTTGGTGGGTGAGTTTGTGGGTGAGTTGGGGGGTGAGTTGGTGGGTGGGTTGGTGGGTGAGGTTGTGGGTGAGTTTGTGGGTGAGTTGGTGGGTGGGTTGGTGGGTGGGTTGGTGGGTGGGTTGGTGGGTGAGTTGGTGGGTGAGTTTGTGGGCGAGTTTGTGGGCGAGTTTGTGGGCGAGTTGGTGAGCGAGTTGGTGGGCGGGTTGGTGGGCGAGTTGGTGGGCGAGTTGCTGGGTGAGTTGCTGGGTGAGAGCTCCCGCAAGTTTCGCGTGGTTTAAATGTCCGTGTGAGCGAGAGTGTCGGATGTGGGAGTGTCTTGGGTGTCTTGTGTGTGCGTGTGTGAGTGCATGTGTGTTTCTTATGTGTTTGTGTGCGCGTGTGTCCGTGTGTTTATGGCGAGCGGTGGAGCAGTGGTTAGCGCGCCTGCGCAATTAACCCGGGCGACACGAGTTCGATTCTCGCTCACGGTCAACGATTATCTGAAGCGGTCCTCGGCCTCTCCTAGATCGACTCGGCCTCAAATGAATACTTGGTGCGATGTATAAACATCGCCACTCGGGGAGACAAAGGCGGCCGGGCGTGGGGTGCTAGCCACACCGCTCCCTCGTGCGCATATGGATAGCACTTGCCGCAAGTCTGTTAAAGCCTATACAGAGAAACTTTGTCTTTGTTTTTCTTCGCGCGTGAGTTAAGAAGTTCTCGCTAACGGCACTCGCCCCAGCAGTCTGTTAAAGGATGCCCGCAGTGAGAGGAGGGGGGAGGGGGTACGTTCACCTGTGCGTCTTTGTAGGTGAACACAACATTCCTGCGACGTTCGTTCCCGCTCGCTCACCGAGTTTCATCATCACCGCTATCATCATTTTTCACCTGGCCACTTGGGGAGGTGTAGGAAATGTGAACACCACGTGGCAGGGGCCACGGGAGTGTTCGTGCTCGTGGCCAAGTTGGTTAGGGGCAGGGTGAGTTGTCCACTGCTAGTTAGTTGGGTGAGTGTCTGGGCTGTAGTTGGTGAGTGTTGGGGTGAGCACCGGCTTGTGGTCGGCTCGCTGGTTAGCGATAGGGCTAAGAAGTCGTGACGGGCTGCATGCCAAGTTGGCTAGGGTTCGTAGCAGTAGCGTCTAGCCGGGATAGTTCGGGTTGGAGTGTTGTGGCACCTACCCGTTTGGTGAGGACAGTGGTCAGTGCGAGGCAGAGTGCTACGTGTCTGGTTGTTCCATTTGGATAGCGCTCGTACTGGCGTGTGGCGGGCGAATCGGGTAGGGGTAGGACTACCGTGTAGCAAGTCGGTAGCAAGTCGGTAGTAAGTCAGTCTGAACACGTGTCATCGCTCCTCCCGACTGGACGCTTCACCCCCCCCCCCCCTTTCATTTTCCGGATCCCTCTCCCCCCTTGCTCCCCGTGCCTGCTCCTCTTCTGAATCGACCCCCACCCCCCATGGCCCCCTCCCTCATGGCCCCCTCCCCCCCAGATGACCACGCAGCTCGCCGCGCTCGACCGGCTGCGGCTCACGAATGACGCCGCGCGCTCGAGCGCCGTCGAGGCGGAGCTGCGCGCCGAGGTGCGCATCCTGCGGGAGACGGCGCGCCGGGCCCAGGTGGCCCGCGACGCGGCGCTGGGGGCCTCGCGCCGCGCCGAGTCGGAGCTGGAGGCGGCGCGGGGCGCGCGCGACGCGGCGCGCCGGGCCGAGGCGGAGCGCCGGAGCGCGCGGGACGCCGAGGCGGAGGCGGTGGCCGCGAGGGTGGCGCGCCTCTGCGATCGGGCCGACGAGCTGGACCGGGCGCTGTCGAAGCAAGCCGAGAGCGTCATGGGCAGGTGCGTGGTGGGGTCGGTCGGTCGTGCGTCCGTTGTCGAGGGGCGGCGCGGAGAGTTGGCGCGCGCGTGCGTAGGTAGAACTTCTTTAGCGCCGTACGTACCCAACCGTGCTGATCACAGGTGGTGAATCTGCCGGTCGTCTCAGTCGGTCGGCCCACCCACGGCGCCTGGGTTCTGTTGCGTGACCACCTGCCAACGGGCCTTGGCCTCAAGATGCACATAGCCTGGCACAGGCGCTGTGGTGATGTCACCGGGCTGGTCAGCACGAGCTGGGTGAAAGCGGGTGGAGGGTGAGGCGTGGGAGCACAGAAGTGCAGTACAACGACTGATATTGCTGCACTTCACTCACTCTCAGCTGCCCACAACGTAGCCTCGCATGCGAACAAACACGCGTACATGCAAACACGCGTACATGCAAACACGCGTACATGCAAACACGCGTACATGCAAACATGCGCCCACACCTGTACCTATCCACGTGCGCGCTCGCACATACCCACATGCGTTCGAGCGCGCATGCATGAACGCACACGTGTGCATGTATACACACTCATACGCGCGCACGTACAAAGACAAATATTCCCCGTATAGCCTTTTAACAGACTATTGGGGCAAATGCTGTTCGCGAGTAGCACCTACGAAGACCGGCACAGCGCACGAGAGAGGGCGGGTGGACCTCACCACACAAACAACGACAACAATGACGACAACAGTCGCCATTCGCCGCAGAGTGGCGGTAACGTCACTAAGGCGCTCGTGCCAGACTACGTGCACTAACTAGGCTCACACACACACATAACAATAATAATATTAACTCACGCGTGTGACACCGGCTGGGTGTCGGCAATGCGCACAAGGAGGCATCGAGCGTGATGAGTGGCGTCCTCGATTCACCCTCCGTTGAATCGCCACTCGGTCTCCCCTCGGGGTTTCGCAGTCCCCGCGACTCGCCACCCCCCCCCCCCCTTCGTCTCGTCGCGTTTAACAATTGACTCCCAGTTCGATTAATCGTTCCACGCTCCGCGCGACCGATGATTGTTAAACACCGTCCCACGTGACTCGCTAAGCAATGAACGCTGTCTGCGTTGAATTAATTGGTACGTCCATACTAGTAAGAGTGCATCTATTAAATGCACATCAATCAAGGCGAGTGGTTGATCGGTAGCTGACAGGTGTGAGCTGTTATTGTGCCCACGTCAAGAGGAGGTGGTTGTTGATTACGGTCATTAAACACCGACTCAAAGATCCACAGCTTGGCTGAATAGACCACACGAGCCAGTGCTGTTAGCGAGCGCCTATTAAGGACGTAACAAAGAAGGACAAACAACAGCTGCCGTTCACCACTAATTGCTGACACGCCCATGCTGAACATCTGTGAAAGAAAAATAGATTCACAGCTCATCGGATTCCTCCTGTAGTCTAAATAAAGATTTTCATTCTCCTTCTGAAGTGGCGGTGACATCACCGCAGTGCCTGTCACGCTAGGTGCAATTTGAGGCCACGCAAAGTGTCGAAGGCTTGCTGGCAAGTGGTCAGGGGACCGATGCCTGTGCCATGGGGTGACTGACTGATATTATTGTCAGAGATGCACCGCCTGTGGTCAGGTGACTGACTGATATCATTGTCAGAGATGCGCCGTCTGTGCTTCCGACTTGCTGCGTTCTAGCCGCCCGGCAAGATGTGGGGCGTCGCTCCCCCGCCCTCCGTTGTTGCTGGAGGGCGACTGCCTCCAACTGCCCAGTAGCAGCGTCCTTCACGAGCCTCCTCCACTGAGGCCGATCTTGACACCGCTGGTACCAGTCATCGGCAAGTCCACTCAGCTCCACGTCCTCCTGTACCACATCACTCCATCTCTTCTTTAGCCCGTGCCGCGCCCGTTTAGCCCCCCTCTCTCCGGCCAAACAGAAGCTGCTTGGGCATGCGGGCTACGCGAACAGGCCAATGTAGCTGCATACCCAGACACACGCATACGCATACACTTGCGTCACGCGAAGGGGGGATGGGGGAGGGGTGCCGATCACAGACTGCACGCGTTCCTGGCGTCACCCGCGCCTAATTGCGCTAATTGGACCCTGAATGGCTAAATTATTGTGTTTACTCCCACACTCAACAGCCACACCTGGGGAATGTGAGAAAAGTGGGGGAACCCACCGCCCCCCCCTCCCCCCTCCGTCTCACGCGCTCACAACCCACCGCCCCCCCTCCCCCCTCCGTCTCACGCGCTCACAACCCACCGCCCCCCCTCCCCCCTCCGTCTCACGCGCTCACAACCCACCGCCCCCCCTCCCCCCTCCGTCTCACGCGCTCACAACCCACCGCCCCTACACCCCCCTCCGTCTCACGCGCTCACAACCCACCGCCCCCCCTCCCCCCTCCGTCTCACGCGCTCACAACCCACCGCCCCTACACCCCCCTCCGTCTCACGCGCTCACAACCCACCGCCCCCCCTCCCCCCTCCGTCTCACGCGCTCACAACCCACCGCCCCTACACCCCCCTCCGTCTCACGCGCTCACAACCCACCGCCCCCCCTCCCCCCTCCGTCTCACGCGCTCACAACCCACCGCCCCCCCCCCTCCCCCCTCCGTCTCACGTGCTCACAACCCACCGCCCCCCCTCCCCCCTCCGTCTCACGCGCTCACAACCCACCGCCCCACGCCCCAGGGACCCGGGTCGCACGGGATGGGGGTAATGGTTTACACGGTAGTGGTCACGGTGCGCAATCATTATGGGTTGAGACTTCAGGGGTGACATCAATTCGTGGGGTCTGGGCAATAGTCGTGGTCTCTGCTAGGGTTAGACACGAGGTGAGGGGGCGAGTGTAAGAACAAGGGAATACAATTAGGACTGTGGGTCGGGGTTATAAGGTTAAGGCTCAGGGTTATTGTGGATAGGGTTCGAGTAAGTGTTAGGGTTAGGGCTGGGCTTAGAACGTGAATGATATGTGCTAGGGTTATGGCTATGGTTATGGTTGTTGTGTTAGGTAACACTATGCTCGCGTTAACACTACAGTCAGGGTAGGGGGAGAAAGAAGTCGTGCTATGCCAGGGTTAAGACTGTGGTTAGGGCGAGGCAATGATTTGATACCGTGATCGGTGTAACGCATTCAGAGACGCACGCTTGGAATTACAATTGGAGGCAAAGAGCGGCAACTCCTAGTGTGTAGAGAACATTCCGTCCAGGTGAAAGACACCGCGTGCGTTATTGACTGTCAGGTGAAGTGTTGTGTGGGAAACGCCATGGTGCCCGATGGTTAACAAACTAAACTATGTTTTAAACTTGATTTGGAGCTTTCGTGACTGAAGCAATTACTCTTTGGTTCTTTCGGTAAAGTCACGTAGAAAGAAAAGAAATTAAATAATAGCATTTTTTTTATTTTACCAGGTAAGGCGCCACTGAACTACACAGTCCTTTTTCAGACGCGACCTGGCCACAAATGATAGCTTAACGAAGTGGCTTGTCACGTGGGAAAAAGTATATCAGAAAATTCCACGCGACCACGGGGAGAGACGCACGCAACCTCCACACACACGCAAACTCCAAACACACGTGTGTCAGTTTCGGGATGGAACCCACGACCTCCTGTATACAAAGCGAGGTAATTAACATCTCACCACCACGGCGCCCAATAACGACTGAGTGGCAGGCAGCGGATGGAATGTACCGCCAGGCCATCGGGGAGGAGACGGAGCGAGGAAATCGGCTCGAGTCCACGTGCTGAGTGAATTGTTGCATCCCAAGACCGACAGAGATGCTTATGGGAGGTATTCATCCAGCAGTGGATTGGTCATGCTTGACGATAATTGCCAAGGCTCGTGTTAGGTAAATGGAGGTAAGGGCTATGCTGCGGTTACTGCTAGGGTTACTATTAGAGAATTGAGGCTATGCTAGGGTTAATGCTATGGTTACTATTAGAGAGTTAAGGCTATGCTAGGGTTAATGCTATGGTTACTATTAGAGAGTTAATGCTGTGCTAGGGTTAACGCTATGGTTACTATTAGAGAGTTAATGCTGTGCTAGGGTTAACGCTTTGGTTACTATTAGAGAGTTAATGCTAGGGTTACTATTAGTAGTATTAGGGAGATCATAATCAGAATATTTATTTAGGCTGCAGGAGGAATCCGATGAGCTATGAAGCTTTTTTTTCAGAGGGCGGGGGGGGGTCAGCGAGTCACAACAACAAACAAAAGAAAAACAACGATAAGAGTGAATATATAGAAAAGGTAAAAACGCCACGAAACATTAACAAATAAGACAATTGACAAATAAATACGATACATTAGTACAAGTGGCACAGTAAGTTGATCAAGTCATGCCGAGTTTTCGCCACTAAATGCAAGCTTGGGCAAGGCAGCTAAACAACAACAGACCAGACCACACCAAGAGACCACGTGCAGTAGCCACTCGATAGACTTGCACGTAGCAATGTAGCTATCGACACACCGCTATGGAGCAACGTGTTACACGTCACATTGCCCACCGTGGCTGTATCCAGCAGCAATTCTCTGCTTCAGAATAATTTTTTGAAGGATGATTTACGACGTCCAGGGAGGAAATAAGGTGGCCCAAAAATGTCGGTGCCGCAACGGCAAAGACTTTTATCACCTTTGTTTGAGTTAATGCTATGGCGGGGGAGGTAATGCTATGTCCGGGTTAATGCTATGGCGGGGGAGGTAATGCTATGTCCGGGTTAATGCTGTGGCTCAGGTTAGTCTGAAGCGTCACCCGTCCCTGACGTCATCACACCAGGTACCCTCGGCGCAATGCACACGTCACAGCCTGGCGTCTACCTGGATCTGTGGTGTGGGCGAGAAGTCCCTAGACCACGTGTCCCATACGAATCTATCATAGGTGTTACTGCAGGGGGAGTGCGGCTTATCCGCCCACCCATCAAGATGTTTGCAGTAATCAGAATGTTGATGTGGAGGGAGCGAGGAGTGGCGATTGGGTAAACTCTGCGTGTCCTCACACACACCCTCGTCCACAACCTCCTCCTCTTCCACCAACACCACCACCACGCCCACCCCTCCTCTTCCACCACCACCACCACGCCCACCCCTCCTCCTTTTCCACCACCACCAGACATTCTGCAGCCACGAGGCGGTGGGGGTATTGGTAAAGGAGCAGCCCTGCATTTAATTTGCTCTAGCCACTGCTGGATGAAGGGCCTCCACTAGAGGCAGATCTAGAAAGAGGGTATTTGGCCTACTCTTCCACGCTAGTCAAACTTCATCCTACTTGTAGGTATGTTGAACTTCTTTCGCACCGTACGTTGCCAACCGTGCGGGGGAAGGGCAACAACCTAAACACAAAAAGCAGCTCTCAAGAAATTCGTTTTTCAATCCCACAACCAATGGTACTAGAAACTCCACGTGATAATAATTTGAATCGTCACATTAGCCACGATCTGTCCACTGCAGGATAATGGCGTCCCCACGCCATATCGGTCATGGAGGCCGTTTGACCATACTTCACCACTCTGGTCAGTGCAGGTTGGTGAAGAGGGTCTAGCTCAGGTCCGGTTCATGTTTCACTCTGAGCCACTGATGTTAGCCGTGGTTGGGAGTAGAGCTCAGGTCGCCTGTCGGGTTTGTAGCACAGTGCGCTAACCGCGGCGCCACCGCTCCCCACACACCCACACAAACATTTAATCACACCCAACAAACAAACACATTAATACACACAGACACGCAAAGCATCCTAACAAAAGACTAAGACAAAATTCCCCAGATAGCCTTTACCAGACTGTTGGGGCAAGTGCCGTGAGCGCACGCCGATGAAAGCCGGCATGGCACACGAGCCGATGGGTGGCCAGCACCAAGTCCCGGCCGCCTTTGTCTCCCCAGTGCTATCGTTGACACACAGGGACCAGGTACACACACACACCCATGTGAGGGTCGATCGGCTCGAGGGTGCCTCTTTGCTGCGCACGATCCGGGGGCTGTCGGTTTTAATTTGGAGCCGCGACTCGGCTCGAGCCCGCAGTGGCGGTGGCCGTCAAACGTGACGAGGAGGCGACTGCGATTGGCACCCTGGGGCGACCTCCACGTCCAACCTTTGTCGTGGCAACGAGATTCAACACAGCATTCCGTGGGTTGCTTCTTCAACTATAAAGAGTAAAAGAGACAGACGGACAGAGATGATTGGCAAAGTATACGCATTTTTTTATTTATTTCGGCCCTCGATTTAACCTGCCGAGAGCCCTTGCTGATGATGGTTGTTTTGAAGGGCTGGTGGTGACTGCAGCTGCACAGGGCGTGGTTGCGCGCGGCGCCTGTGGTCTATCGCTTGATGTGGCGAGGGCTGGTGGATCACGCAGAGATTCGCGATACTCCGCTCGGCTTCGTGCGAGGTGGTTAGGGAGGCGGCTGCGGTACGACAGGGTTTGGTTGTGAACCCGTCATTGGAGAGCTCTGAGTGGTGTCCGCTCGTAATCGCGGTGGGGGGGTCTCCTCCGAGTTCTCCATTCCATTGACGTTCGCCACGGCCGCGAATCAAACTCAGGTACACGGTTTCCTAGCGCTAACCGCTGTTGATGGCTGCACAAAAACAAAACGCATCGCAGTAAAGTGAGTCCTGCGTTTACTTTGGGTAAATTCCGGCTCTGGTGGTGGTGAAACGACTCTCAGTGTGACTGCCGTGCGACGGATATTACCCTCGGTGGCAGGACGGGTGGGAATGTGATGCGGATCAGAGGGTCCACTTGCGCGGGCCATTCTCCAACACAAAGGGTCTCCCTGCTCTGCGAGACATTCGCATGGATTCGTCGCCTTGTTAACGCGACACCCAAAGCCAACACCGGATCTGTCCCGTGCCTCCGTGTTGGCGTCCTGTCGCAATAATCGCCGTGGGCTAGTGCGTCTCAATTAAACCCTGGGGGGGGGGGTGTGGGCGAGTGGGAGGCGGTGGCCGGGGGGGGGGGCTCATGCCAGTGAGCTGAGGTCACTGCCACTGCTCCCCCGTGCGAGAGGGACCTTCGTCCTCCTCCCACTCTCTCCCCTCCCAACTCCCAGCGGTGATGTCATCGCTGACGGTGATTGTTAGTCGATGTTTCATCGGTGACAAAGACTCGCAGCGTTGTTAATAATGAAAGTAAACATAAAAAGGCTAAAGGCACAGGCCCTGCAAGTGCGTGCTCACGTCCCCTGCTGGCGGAAGGGGCCTCGGCTTGAGGTCGAGACCCTCTTCAAGCGTTCTTGGGTCTACTCCTTCCCGATGGCCACAGGCGTCTCGGAAGGCGTCGATGTACCCACACTTGACCCCAGCACGCGCGACCTGCCGATGGACTCGTGTTATCATTTACACCGCTGGGTGAACAGAGCGAGTCGCAGCCGCGGCCACGCAAACCTCGCGCGACGATGCGGCCAGCCCCGTCTACGGGCCCCGAGACCTCTCGACCCATGCGGGTGACCGGAGGGAGATGTTCGCGGTCCGTCCTCGAGTCCGAGCCGGTTGTGCAACGGCCTTGAAGCGTGCGGTGCTGTCATTACAAGGAGCGCACACTCTGTGTCTGTGTGTGTGTGTGGTCAGTGTGGCGCGTTCGTGATGGACTGGGCTCTTCATAAGAACGCGCGTTAACTCGTGCTCGGACTGAGTTACTCGACGATCTTATTGACGCAGAAACCAGCGAGATAACTTCTACACGAGCCAAGCCCCGTGTAAAGCTACCGGCTCTAACTCCCACTATCTCTGTGTGTGTCTCCCACTCGCGTGGAGACAGCATTCCAGTGCGAGTCTGGGCCCGTGCGTCTTTCGTGACTGACATCCACGCTGTCTCCCAAACTCTCATCACTTGGCTATGTGTATGTGTGTGTATGTGTGTGGGGAGCGGTAGTGTAGCGGTTAGCGCTACGCTGCGCTATGAACCCGGCGATCCGGCTCCGGTTTAACAGCAGAGGTCTCACTCCGAATCAGTCGAATGGCATTATCTTTTCATCGGTTGCGTAACGCTGTGTGGAAGCTACCTGGTCTGTAGCTCCGCACGAAGCTTCAGGTCGTCTCGGCTACACTCATTCCCTACCTTCTCCGTGCTTGTGAAACGTGGACTTCCCTAATGGAACATCTTCGCCGGTTAGAAACATTTAGGCTGGCCTGCCTACAATGCATCCTGGATTTAACGAGGCTGGATTGCGTGAGGAGTTCACACATCCTTGAAAGATCTGGTCCAAAGTCCCATCGGTGAGCTCCTCCGGCAGGCAAGGCTGCGTTGGCTGGGTCATGTAGCCCGCATGCCCAGCCACCGCATGCCTAAACAGCTTTTGTTCGGCCGGATCGAGGGGGCACAACGGGCGCGACACGGGCTAGAGAAGAGATGGAGTGATGTGGTACAGGAGGACGTGGATCTGAGTGGACTTGCCGATGACTGGTACCAGCGGTGTCAAGATCGGCTTCTGTGGAGCAGGCTCGTGAAGGACGCTACTGAGCAGTTGGAGGTAGTCGCCCTCCAACAACAACGGAGGGCGGAGGAGCGACGCTCACAACAACGAGCGGAGCGCCGGGTGGCTAAGCACTGCAAGTTGGTACAGTAGGGGGCACAGGTGGTGCATCAGCCAGTCGTCTCAGTCGACCCGTAGCAACTGGGTCTGCCCCGTGACCTCCTGCCAGCGGGCGTTCGACACTTCACGTGGCCTCAAGGTGCACATAGCCTGGCACAAGCGTCGTGGTGACGTCACCACCACTTAGTGGCGAATGGCGGTTGTTGTTGTTGTGTATGTGTGTGTCTATGTATGTCTGTGTGTGTATGTGTGTGTGTGTATGTGTGTGTGTATGTTGAACTTCTTTCGCACCGTGCGTCGCCGACCGTGCTCATCGGAGGTGCGAGTGGAGCTCGCGAAAGAGCTGGCTCGCAGTCCTTAACTTTAATTTTTTTTAAACAATGACGTGTTATTATTATTACGGGTAGTAGCATTGCCTGAGTGTAATATGTTAGTATCTCACGTAGAACATATCGTTGACATTGGTTACATTCCAGTGGTAAGTATTCAATATACAAACCTTTGTCAGTCTGCTGCTGAGGTTGTCCCCCATGCTGCGTCAGTCGTGATCGTCATTTGGCCATACTTCACCACGCTGGTCAGTTCGGGTTGGTGCAGCAGGATGGAACGCGTGACCGGTTCCGAGTTCACTCGTCACTGCTTCTATTCATGGCCGGGAATTGAACTCGGGGTTCATAGTACGGTGCGCTAACCGCTGTGCCACCACTCTCACATCAGAAATGACCACCACTACCACCACCACCATCATAATGACCACCAAAACCACCACCTTCACCATTATCAACAACACCACCGTCGCCACCACAATCATCACCAACGGAAACGTTACCACCGCCTTAGTTCTCACCACGAAAATATACACCACCACCATCACCACCATAATCACAGAATCAGAATCACCAGCAAAACAATCGCCATCACCATCAACACCAACACCACGACCACAGTAATCATCACCAAAAAAACCCTCCAAAACCACCACCATCATCGTTACCACCAAAAACAAATTTAACACCGCCACCACCATCGCCAACCACAACCATCAGAGCCGGCAACCCGAGACCCGCGGCTCCCAGTCGCCCGCGGCTCCCAGTGGCCCGCGGCATTGTGCGGCCCCACGCGTCCAGACGGCCGGGAATGTTCGCTCGGGCACACAAAAGTATCTCGAATTCCACTCGGGGAAATTATACGCGACGAGAGACCGGGCGAGCGAGAGAGATCAAGAGAGAGAGCTCCAGGTTATTAACTGTGACACCCTCCTTCCCCCTTTGTGCGCGTGTCAGGTTCTGGTGTGAGACCTTCACCATCACGAGGAGGGTGAGTGTTAACGTCTCGCCCCACCACGCGAACTCCCACGTCCGCCCACGTCCGCGCGGGCGGTGAGCTCACCGCTCGTTTGATTTTCAAAAAAGCAAAGAACACCGGCGAACTCTCGCAATGACGTGAGCAGCGACGATCCATGCGCTGCCGAGCACTTTGTGGTTGGTCTGGGTCTCGCCCAGTGAGCAACTTGCCGTGCGGAATCATGCACGCCGATTGGAACTCCTCGGGACTCGTGCCAAGGCCAACGCGGTTTCTGTCCCTGCCAGGGTCACATTTCAAATATCGTTAACTGACGATTGCCACAGAGTCCCCTTTGAAGGCGCACAACCTGTGGTGCCGCTGCTGCCTTGAGTGAAATATTGGGAGGTTGCGTGTCTTAGGTCGTTGACGATGCGTGTTTGTGCAGTGCAGTGGTTAGCGCACCGCCATACGAACCCGGCGATCTGAGTTGCATTCCGGCTCACGACCAGTTGAAAGTGCCGAATATCTGAACCGTTCCCTGGCCTCCCATAGGTCGTCTCAGCCTTAAATGGCGCGGTGTGTAAACATCAGCACTGAGGTGGGCGAGCGATGTGCTGGCCACCAACCCAATCGTGTGCCGTGCTCGATAACCGCACTTGCCCCGACACTCTGTTAGAGACTATACGGGGGATCTTTGTCTTTGCAGGAGGAGGAGAACGGAGTGGACGACGAGAATGAGGATGATGCCTTTTCCCAGGACAGCCGAGACCACCTCTCCCGTCTATCACAGGTGAGTCATCATCATGATCAACGTCATCAGCAGCCATGCTCAATCCACTGCTGGATGAAGGCCTTTCCAAGCCTCCTCCACCTGTACAACTTTGTGGCAAAATCAAAATCGCCCTGATAATGTGGAATTTCCGCTCGCTAGGAGATGATGAACCAGCAAGCAGCGCCTCGTTGTGGTGCATCTGAGCAGCAGGAACTCGTCACCTCTGACTTATTGTTGTGTCTTCGTTGGAGGGGTTATATCAGCGGTAGTCAGGTACGGTGCTCGGGGCAAACCCCACCGTGTGCCCCCCCCCCTCCCGACTCCTTCAAACTAAACCAGAAGTATTACATCTGACACCGTGACATTGAAAGCGCGCCCCCCCCCCTGCCAAAAGTGCAGGGCCCGGGGCGTTCGCCCCGATTCGCCGTGTCCTGTTGGGACGGCTCTGGCGGTGAGTAGCAGCAATCGCAGTCACGGCAGCAGAATCATTAGAATTAGTATTATAATTATTATTATAATTATTATTATTCAGGTGCGGTTGTGTGGGCTGACCGGATCGCGCGTGCATCGTGCACCGCAGCCACTCCGGGGCACATTCCTCTGAATGGTTTTATTAATGCTGCTGCTGCTGCTTTAACTCCCTGGGAGGTTTGCTTGGAACGTTGTCTTAACGCCCAAGATGTCCGCGTTTTGGTAACTAATGTGTGCAGGCGTTTGTTCATTCATTCATTCGCGGATTAATTCGTGGTTTAAACGATTAATTAGTTCCTTTGTTGTTGAATGATTTAATAATTCGTTCCGTTTCATGATTAATTCAATCATTTCATTCATTGCTTAATTCGTGTCATGCTTTTTTCTTCATTCATTCCCCCGTTGGATGTCTGAATCTTTATCCTTTTGATTGACTTGTAATAACACTCTGGAGACGGCTTGTGGAATCGGTCCTTTTATTTACTTTTCTCAATTCACAAGCACTCCCCGTTGCTGGCAGGCAACGGGAAGTGGGCAGACAGATTGCAAGAGACGCACCACCACATGGCACTCAAGTTCAAGTTCATTTATTAGGTATAGCCCTGTGAGCCATTCAGCTCTTGAATCGGGTGCAACCGCAACAAACAAAAAACAAAAACATGAACAAAAAAACATCTTAAAGTGAATATGTGACTAAGTGCAAACAGAAAATCCAAGAAAAGACAGCAAAAAATATTGCAGAAAAAACACCGTACACCAACGCTGTGTGCAAAAATCCCAGTGGGATGCAAGTCAAACAACAACAACAACCACAAGACAACTTAGATTAAGGCCATCAGTCTAACTCTGTACTACAACAACACAAACATGGCTAAACTAATACACTTTTCGAAATCACCAAAATAAAGCCATGAAGGCAATGAAAAAGCAATCATAGGAACTGACGGAATTTTCACAATAAATGGCATAAACAACATGTACTACCAAAACCCTGCAGCCATAGCTGGCTGCATGAGTCACTCCACAACAGCAGGAGCATCAATCGGAGTATTGTAATTTTTCAATGCACCTTTAAGATCAGCACACTAAATCAAAACACAGGTCATACTTTGTAGCGATCATCCGGAGCGAAACATTTTATTTTAGGTCACTGAATAGCACTGGCAGCTAGGGGTGTACAACTCCTCTAAAGCAGTTTTGAGTGAAGATCTCATAGGTAGTGACTCAAGTTTCAATTTATTTGCAACAGCATTCCAGACCCTGGGGGCATCAATAGCAAAGGCCCTTCCTCCAGTATATGTACGGCAATAGGGAATATTAAGCTGGTAAATGAGTGTAGACCTTAGGTCAAATTTGTTCTTTGAAACAGAGACGAGATCCAGCAGGTAATCTGCAGATTTTTTTGCAAGTACATCATGAATAAATAAGATCTGGTGCACAAGCCGTCGAACATTCAGAGATGTTAAGTTTGACCCAATGTAGAGATCACAGTGGTGAGTCCTATATGGGCAGTTCAATGCAAATCTTAAGGCCGAGTGATACATTGAGTCAAGCTTCTTCAGTACAGTACTTGGGGCTGATTTATACACAATGTCACAGTAATCAAGTAGAGGCAGTACGGTAGCTTTAATCAATTCCAAACGGAACATAGGAGGGAAGCAGTGCTTGTGTCGATATAGAAAACCAATTTTAATTTTTGTCTTTTTCCCAATATAATCAATGTGATCTTCAAAATTCAGTTTTGAATCCAGGATGACCCCAAGATACTTATAGATCTTGATTTGCTCTATTTGATCATTATTTAAGGTATGTAATTGGGGAAAAATAACTTCCCGCTTTAGTCCTGGTGAGAAGCATAGCACCTTGGTTTTGGCAGGATTAAGGACTAGTTTAAGAGCAACTAGCTGATGTTGTAGTTTGTTGAAATCACTCTGGAGCTTAGCAATCACGTCATCCGGAGAGCGGCCAGCAGTAATTAGTACCGTGTCATCTGCAAAAAGATTTACCCTGGAATAATCCAGTTCAGTGCCCAAGTCATTTACATAAAGAGAAAACAAGAGGGGGCCGAGAATGGAACCCTGTGGAACCCCTTTTGTTATCTTAACACTGTTTGACCTCCAACCATCTGTGAATACAGTTTGGGTGCGAGAAAAGAGGTAATTTTTTAACCATTTTACTGTGTTTTCGGAAAAACCGAGGCAACTTATTTTACTAAGCAGGATGTTGTGGTCTACTGTATCAAAAGCTTTGGACAAGTCAAGAAAAAGACAGGCGCAGTACTGCTTATTATCAAGGCTACTGTAAATGTGATTCAGAGAGTCTAATGCAGCAGATGTGGTGCTGTATTTTTTTCTGAACCCAGATTGTTTTAGATGTAATAGATTGTTGGCGGACAGGAAACTGTTAATTTGGTAGGTCAATAATTTTTCAAAAATTTTCATCAACGGGGACAAAATTGAGATAGGTCGGTAGTTATTTGGATCATCTTTAGGGCCCCCTTTGTGAAGTGGACGAACATAGGAATGTTTCCATTCTAGAGGAACTGATGCTTCTTTGATGGACAGGTTGAAAATATGGGCTATAGGTTTGTATATTAGGTGACCAACAGTTAGTAGAGCAAAGACGGGAATACTATCTGCTCCGGTAGAGGAGGACCCTTTGAGGTAGGACAGTTGTTTCAGAACATTACTTTCGTGGATTGGCTGAAAACTAAATTCGCTTAATGTTTGGACAGGAGTGTAGGAATTTGCATGAGCAGGGGTGACTCCCAATACATTATCAAATAGGGTACCAGCTTCAGAAAAATGAAGGTTAAAATTGTCAACTATTTTTTGGGGATCTGAAAAATATTCCCCATTTCGGTTAAGCTGAACGGGCAGATGATCTGTTTTGGATGCCTTTTCGATACATTTGATTGTTTTCCAGAAAATCCTGGCATTTCCATGAGATTCAAGGAGAGTGGAAGAGAAGTAGTTATTTTTTGCATGCCGTATTTTTTTGACGCATCTATTCCTTAAAATCCTGTATTCTAGCCAGTCATTGACCAAATTACTTTTCTGAGCACATGCCCAAGCCTTGTCCCTAGTTTTCATGAGCTTTGTAATCACAGGATCAAGCCATGGTGGACGGTTGCCTTTAGTTTTAAATTTAACCAACGGAGCATGTTTGTTAAGAATTTGGAGAAACGTGTACCTGAAGGTCTCCCAAGCCGTAGTCAGGTTTGGAATATCACAGACCTTGTCAATATCCGAGTGAAGCACATCATTAGTAAATGCCTGAGTGCTGAAGTGTCTCATGGAGTGCTTCTCAACCAATTTAGGGGGGGCTTTGGGTCTGGCTGATGATCTCACCCCAAAAATGAAGGAGTGATCACTAAGGTTATTACCTAGAACACCAGTCAGTGCGAAATTGTGAGGGGCATTTGTCAATAGGACGTCAAGCAGAGATGACTGTCCCGGATTTTTTAGGTTGGGTCTTGTGGGGACATTTATTAATTGAAACAGGTTAAATTCATCTGCAAAATTTGTGGCCACGGCCGGCGGGTTTAGCCAATTCCAATTTAGATCACCCACTAAAACTATTTCACCTTTAGGGAGGCCCCCAAGAAGCTCTCTCAGTGCAGATGCAGCTTCAACATCCTTCCCACTAGGCGGTCTATAGCAGCACACTACCAATATGTGTTGATTATTAGGGAGAGTTATTCTGAGAGCCAGACCTTCAAAGCAACATTTTTTAAACAAGGAGTGAGCTGGTGAACATGGAATAGTATTACGAACATAGATGGCAATTCCACCTCCTTTAGATCCTCGGTCAAGCCGAAAAAGATTGTAGTTGTCAATCGTAATCTGCAAGTCATTGACGGCAGGAGTGAGAAATGTTTCTGTTAGGCAAAATATGTCCGGGTCAAGATTTGCTACTTCTAGTTTTAGTTGACTTAATTTAATCAAAAGCCCTCTGATGTTGACATGTAGAACACCAACACCTTTTCTGCCAGAAAAATCTACAGAATTATATGAGTTCTTTACATTTGGTCCAGGATGAAGCTCAATACCACCCAGAAATAAGAAAAGTAGAATTAATAGTTTGCACAGGTATTTTCTGTGAAAGGATGAAGAGCGACGAACCTTGGACGAATAGCAGCAGCTCGCAGATGGTGTTATTTTAAAGAGCAGAATGAAGTTTGGAAGGAGTGCTGGTGAAGTAATGGGACAAAGATAGGGTTTAAAAGGATATAATGATGGAGTGTAGAAGTGTCTATAAGTTGTTTCATTAGCAGGTGTAGTTGCAAATTTAGCAATAAGTATTGACGCAAAGTAACGCGGGTAGCCATTTGTAGAGTTGAGTGTGGCACTAGATATGGCCGGGAGGGACAGTAGTAAGATACACAGCAGGTGAATTGACATCTTTAAAACACTAAATTTAAACACACACACAGCTCACTCACACGCAGCTCACCCTCACCCACTCTCACGCACAGCCCACACCCATGCAGCTCACGCGTGGCCCCTCTCTATCTCTCTTCGTTCCTTGTCTGACCACGTGTCCCTCGACTCTTCCCTTATTTAATGCCTAGGTCACGTGGTACGCTCCAGCCAATCCTTAATAGCCTGCGCTGAATGTTCCAGATTCCTCCATCAACTCCCGGGACCACGCCCCTGACTTGTCTTCCCATTGGCTGAGGCCAAGAGCAGCAGAACCAATCATCCTAGCTGACATCCCTCGATCACGCCAGGGCCATGCTCCCAGGCTCTCCCCCCATTGGTTGTAGAGCAGGACCGGCAGAGCCAATCACCACGTGAGCCGGACATAGGCTCTCATTACATCATGACCAATTCGTAAATTGCTTTGTTGAACGATTGAACCCTTCATTATTTTGATTATTCATTCATTTGGTTGTGAATGAAGTAACCAATCTAATAATGTATTAATTATTTCCACGATTGATTCATTCATTTTACGATTCATTAATTCAGTGAATGAAGAGGTGGGGGGGTTAGGCCCTGGCCACCTTGCCTCGGTTCCCGGCACCATCCTCCCAAAGCCACTCCTCTGGGAAGATTCTTCTCAGGGATATTCACAATCCCTGTCAGCTGCTCAACAACAACAATCATCACAATAACGACAGTAATTCACTTTGGTATGACGTTACAATAAAGCAACAGGCGGCTAGAATTGTAAGTTTAATGGTGTGAGCCCGTGCACGGCACGCGGGGCAGGAGCCGAGTGGAGCAAATCCGCTTGTTCCACGACAACAAGCGCAAGCACCGGGCCATCATCAGTGGTAGACGCCCGATCGTTAACACCTCGCCGAACATCAACGTACCAGACCGCGACAGCGCAGTCACAGGCAGTGTGAGCCCCTCCTCTCCTGCTCGTAGAGTGGGCTAGTCCCCAGCTGTGTTGTGGAGCTCATCGCGAGTGGCAGCCCTCACCGGTGGCGCGTGGCTCCCTGTGGGTGCTTTAGTCTGACTCGATGAGCAGAGTGACACACCACTCCCCGCCCCCCTTGCCCCCCCCCCCCCCCCCCCCACAGCTGGAGTCGTCCCTGGAGCGATCGCACGCGCTGTTCAGCGCCGTGCTCTTGCGCCTGGAGGACACCATCATCCACTCGCAGGGCGAATGCCAGGTGCGCCTGCATCTATGAATCTTGTGCACGTGATAGGTGCACGGATGAACGGATCGGTAGTGAGGGGATTGCTGGATGGATGGGTGGATGAATTGATTGATGGTTGGATGGATTGAGATATGGATGGGTGCATGGATGGATTGTTTGATTGATTGATGGCTGGGTGGATGTGTTGGATTGGTTGGATGAGGTGGATGCATGAACGGGTGGATTGGTCGATGTATATGGGTGAGTGAAGGGATGGATTGAAGGGTGGGTGGATCATGTGGGAGAACTGTGAGTGCCACCGCGTGTCACCGCGTGACGTCGCTGCCCCACGTCCCGCACGCCGCTCCGAGCGCCACTCTCTGTGTGTCCACCCCCCAGAAAGCCGAGCGGCGCAAGGCGGAGCTGCAGGAGCAGCTGAGGAGCACGGGCGAGCAGATGGAGCAGTACTCGGAGATGGTGCTCGCTCTCTACACGGAGAACCAGCACCTCGAGGTGCCCCCCCCCCCCACCGCCTCCCCCACCCTCCCCGCGAGGAACACTCGCCCCCCCTCTACATCGCCACCAACTCATCTCTCGCTCTCTCTGTCTCTCTGTGAGCCACAGCCTTTCTCGGAGACGTCGGTGATCATGGACGTCCTGCCACTGAGCTATGTCCGTGAGATTTACTCAACGTCTTGTTGCGTTTTTGTGTGGAGTCTGTATCTTCTCCTCCTGTCCTATAATGTGCTACGTGTGTGCCGCGTGTGTGCCGCGCGCACGCGAGCAGAAGTCGCGGTGCGCGTCGCAGGCCACGCTGCGCGGGCTGCGTGCAGCGCTGGCGGAGCTGGGCTCGGGGCGGGCGCAGCACGAGCAGCTGCTGCAGCAGCGCGACGAGGAGGCGGCGAGGCTGCGCCGGCACAACGAGGCGCTGCAGCTCGAGGTGCCGCACCGCGTCACACGACGTCACACGACGTCACACCGCGTCACACCACGTCGCACCACGTCACACACGTCACACCATGTCACACCGCGTCACACCACGTCACACCGCATCGCACCGCGTCACACCACGTCGCACCGCATGGATTTATGAATGGATTCTTCATACAATGAAGATGCATTTGGTTCGGAAAAGGTGGCATCACCACCAGATTCTTTATGTTGTTGATGTTGTTGTTAATGTAATGGATGTTGTTGTTGATGTAATAGATATTGTTGTTGATGTTGGTGATGTAGTTGGTGGTGTTGTTGATGATGATGATGTTGATAATGTTGTTGTTGATGTAATCCATGTTGTTGATGTTATTGATGTTGTCGATGTTGTTGATGTAAGGTTATTGTTGTCGATATTGTTGTTGTTGATTTTGTTGTTGATGTTGTGGCACAGCTGGTGGCGAGTAGAGGCTCCGGGGAGCGTGCCGCCCGCGTCTGCGTCGACGACCTGAAGCAGAAGTTCGAGCGTCTCCTGGCCCAGGCGCGCGACGACCACGACTCCGAGATCGACGGTCTCAAGGTGAGTCCGTGGCCTCAGATCATCGTCGTCTACATCGCCATCATCGTCATCGGCCACGTGTCCACATCGCCATCATCGTCATCGGCCACGTTCGATCCACTGCTGGATATACGACTCCGCAGGTTGTTGTCATCTCTCACGGCCCTGCGATCTAACGATCCACGGAGCTCGTCTGTGTGTGTGTGTGCGCCAACGTTGAGTTGGCTCGTTGTGTTCACGCGCGCGTGTGAAATGCCGGTGTGTGAGCTACCCGGTGTGTCCGTTGGTGTCCGCGGGTGTGCGTCGGGAGTGGTGGCACAATGATCGGCGCGCCGCGATACAAACCCAGGGGCCCGAGTTCGATTCCTGCTCCCCGGCCAACACCAATGAATATTATTTGAACCGGTCCTGGGCCTCCCCTAGGTCTACCCAGCCTTAGTCTGAATACCCTGATGCAGCGTGTAAACATCAGCAATGGGGAGCCAAAGGCGTGTGGGCATGGTGCTGGCCACCGCACCCCCTCGTGCGCTGTGCTGGACCTCGTAGGTTCCTCTACTCGCGGACAGCACGTGCCCCAGCAGCCCGTGTAGGCCGTGGGGTCTGTGCGCGTGCCCTGTGCGGGGTGCAGAAGCGCCTGGGTGAGTACCAGCTGGAGGCCGGGCGGCTGGGCGAGCTGTACAGCGGCCTGCAGGAGCAGACGGGGCGCGAGCGCGAGCAGCTCGGGGAGAGCAAGACCCTGCTGGAGACTCTCAAAACGGTGAGATCCAATGGGGAGGGGGTGGGGGGAGGGGGGAGGGGCAGTTGCCGTCACTGCCTCCTTCTGCACAAAATGAGACCACGAAAATTGGTAATTTGCTGATATTCGAGAGGACATACATTGAATGTTTCTTTTTACATTGTGGGTGTGTGGGTGTGTGTTTGGTCTACCAGCAAAACATGGAGCTGAATCAGAAGCTGAGTCCATTGACAAGAAAGGAGTCAATCACACGGACCATCACAACCACTAAGTGAGCCCAAACACACGTAGGCACACACAGATAAAGACCCATACACACAGATACACGCAGTGACGTCACCACGACGCTTGTGCCAGGCCATGTGCACCTTGAGGCCACGTGAAGTGTCGAACGCCCGCTGGCAGGAGGTCACGGGGCAGACCCAGGTGCCACGGGTCGACTGACTGAGATACACACACACACAGATACACACACACAGATACACACACACAGATACACACACAAAATACACACACAACAACCAACAGTCTCCATTGGCTACCGAGTGGCTAGGTGCACTGTGAGGCCACGTGAAGTGTCAAAGGCTCCCCCGTGTCTCTCCTCCCTGTCCCCCCGTGTGTCTCCGCTCCCCCGTGTCTCCCACCCTCTCTCCGCAGGCTGGAGGCGCGGTATCCGATCCTGCAGCTGCTCCCGCGCTACGAGGGGGAAGGAGCCCCCCCGACGCGCTCGGTGCAAACCGTGGTGCTGGAGCGTGAGGGGCAGCGGCAGGTGACTGCGGGGGGGGGGGGGGGCTCGATCGCTCTCTAATGCACCTTTTTATCTTCCTGCTGCTGCTGCTCATCTTGAGTCGTGCCCTCCTCCCTGTCCCTTCTGGAGACGTCAGTCCCGGCCTTCCCCCTCCCGTCCCTCTCCCTTTTCCCATCCATTGCATTCTTGACTCTCCGCCACGGATGACGGCGATTGTCGAACTCCAACAGAGCCGCGATGACGCCATCCTCCTCTGTCTGCCCGCAGTTCAAGATCCGAAGTGTGAATTCGGAGGACGCGGCCGACCTGGACATCGACCTGGTGTAGCCGCGGCCCCCACGGGGACCCGGCAAGGGGACGGGGGGACAAGGGCGCGGGTTGTTTGGGGACCAAGGCAACGCGAGACCCCCTGTGCCTTGATATGACCCCCCCCCCCCTCCCTTACCACCACTTCGTGTTGATGTTCCGTGCGGCATCGAGTGAGAGACGGGGATTGAGGGGATAGAGGGGGGACGGGGAGGGGACCCGATGGGGGGTTATAGGGAGGTATAGCCGAAGTGTGTGCGTGTCACAGTGATGGATGGTGCGTGTATCAAAGAGGGGAGCGGTGGCATAGTGATTAGCGCACCACGCTCTGAACTCGACGGCCCGAGTTCGATTCCCCGCTCATGGCCACCAGTGACGATTATTTGAACCGGTCCTGGGCCTCCCCGAGATCGATGTGTCAACATCACCACTGGGGAGACAAAGACGGTCGGGGGAGGTGCTGGCCACCCCCTCGTGTGCCGTGCCGGCTTTCGTAGGTGCTCAGTAAAAGCACTTGCCCCAGCGGTCTGTAAAGGCTACACGGGGGATATTTGTCTTGGTATTATTTTTTTTACGTCAAAGAGATAGAGACGGTGCGTGTGTATGTTGCGACTACTTGAGTGCCAACACCCAGTTTTATGTAAAACCGGATATCGGGCCCTCTCCTAGGTCGACTCAGCCTGAAATGAATGTCCGGTGCTGGGGAGACGAGCAAAGAGGGCGAAGTTGGCTGCTGACCACGCGGGCCATCAATAGGCGCTCGCTAACGGCGGCCGCTGCGAGTGTGTAACGCGAGGCTGGGGGGGGGGGGTGTCCTGACAGGTGTGCGCTTGACACGGGTAAAGTAGACGCGGTGCCTCGTGCCTCTGCTTGCAAGAGAATAAGTTTGCCCCCCGGGTGCAATCCTGGGCGAATTCCCGAGCGAGGCGGAGGTCGCATCGCGACAGAGTTCAAAGGAAGAAATACAAAGATTCCCGGGTAGCTTTCACAGACCGTTGAGGCAAGTGATGGTAGCGTGCACGTATGAAGGCCGGGAGGGCACACGAGGGGGTGGATAGCCAGCGTGGACCACGCCCGGCCTTTAAAAAGAACACACACCCATACATACAAAGACAAAGATCCCCCATATAGTCTTTAACAGACTGTTGGAGCAAGTGCTGTTAGCAAGGACTTAACAACACACAGACAACCATCACACTCACTCTCAACCACGCACACGATCTCGACCACTCATAGGCACACAACCACACTATACACGGACACAGTTACAGTCATCCATACACACACAATCACACACAATCACACACAAGCACGCACACGCTTAACCACACACTCAACCACACACCAAACAGTACGCAACCGCGAACACTGAAAATTGTTCATATGTAAAAATAAAAAATCACGTGTCCACGTTTTCTTTTCATGCACAGTGCACAGGTGCATGAGCACGTGTTCATCCAGAAGTGGATAGAGAATGGCTGATGATCGATAAATATACATGCTGATGATGATATATTATGATGACTTATGATGATGATGATGCTTTGGCATCGCTCCTATCAGCTTTGCCAACGGCTCTCCCACGCTCTTTGTAATCTCTCTGTATGTATTTATTTGATTGCAATTGTATCGATAGATTCGACTTGATCGACGGGTGGCACGGGCTGGCTAATTGGCGCTGCGGCGCGAGCTTCACTCATTGCGAGGGGGGGGCGCACGTGGAGGGATGGGGTCCACATGAGTTCCCAATCACCAGGGCGGCCCTCCCGTGAGCACGGGAGTCACGAACTCGGCTCTCCGCGTCGGAGCTTGCTACTGGGGCTTTTCACTGCTGCAAGTAGACATTGTAGAATGTACTGACTGCTCTTCATACTAGATTTTTTTTTAAGTTTGGCTGGCTGGCGAGCGGGATGGAGGGACTGACGGTCAAGTCCAAAGTGACGTACGCTTTGCTCGTAGAAATAAAAAAAATGATTATCGGGCGAAACCCGTGTCTCTGTCTCTCTTTCTCTCCGGCGTGCGCAAGTTGAGACGTGTGTGGTGTGAGAGCCAGTGTGTCCGTGTGTGTGTGTATTTTGTATCTATGTCTGTGATCTATGGGGAGCGGTGGTGCAGTGGTGAGCGCGCTGTGCTACGAAGCCGGTGATCCGACCAATCATAGTGGAGAATATTTGAACCTGTCCTGGGCTTCTTTCTAGGTTTGCACAGCCTTAAATGAGTACTTTGTGCGGTGTGTGAATTAAACATCAGCCCTGGGGAGATATAACGTTGACCGGGCGTAGTGCTAGCCACATCACCCTCACGTGTACCGTACCGGCCTTCATGCGTGCTCGCTAACAACACTTGCCTCCAACAAACTGTTTCGGCTATACGGGCACCTTGTAGGAATGCTAGCGTGACGGCACGGTTGTACGCCTCCATAGCGGGGTGGAATCTGTGTGAGATGAGTTTATGTGGGCTGCCCGCGTGTGTGTGAGAGAGCCTTGGACACTGCACGTGGCCTCAAAGTGCACCTAGCCTGGCACATGCGCAGTAGTGACGTCACCGTTACTTAGTGGCGAATGGCGCGTATTGGTGTGAACCTTAAGAGGTGCTCGCTAACAGCACTTGCCCCAAAAGTCGGTTAAGGCTATACGGGGGATCTTTGTGTGAGCCAGGACCTGAGTTTCCATCTCCACGGTTTCAGCAGCAAGTCGCGAGAGAAACCTCAACAAGACGCAAAGTGCCGCTATTTTGACTAAAGAAAGTCGCGGATACTTGACGCCAAATATTCCACTTCAGCAGCAAAGTCTCCAGAAGAGAGATCGCCAGACGTCGTTGGTCTACGAAGTCTTGGACTTGACGAACACGGAGAGAGGCGTGCACCCGATATTCGTGTTGATTTTGGAAACTGTGTTTGAGAGATGGTTAGGGGAAGCCCTCCGTCGTCCAGCAGTGGATAAACCATGGCTCATGATGTTGTTGGTGAGTCGGTTGAAAGCTGACTCACCATCGTGCGGACGTAGGGACTCTACGTGCATGGCTTTCGAAGGTGATGGCAGTGAACGATACACGCGTCTCGAGTACTCGCCGCCGAACCACAGACGCAAAGTTCGAGCCCCGATCCACGGCGCCTTCCCACAGTTATTGCGAGAAAAAATATCATTAAAATAATAACCGCGCGCGCTAATGGGGAATCGAACCCGGGCGGAAAACACGACAATCTTCCATGAGAGCACGACACGAGCTGCGCGTGCTCATCAAAGCTTCGAGCGCGCGGAGCCCACGCACGTGAACGCGATGACGTGCTCCGAAGAAGGTCCATTGCCCGAAACGACACCTGTTATCTCGCGCTCCTTATAAGGCCACAGTGTGTTCAATGTGAGTGGTGGCTCATTCCGTGCCGGCTCTCCACTCCCAGCTCCTCCCACCATCCGCAGCTCCCCCACATCAAAGTTTCCCCTACCCGCTCTCCCGTGCCCCGAATCCAAACGGTGTGTTCCGAGTTCCACGGATGCGGCTGTGGAGGAGAGAGGCGGCGAGTCGCCATCTCGTGGGTTCTCCCGGAACAACTGTTGCGGGTGGCCTCCCAACAGGTACCGAGGTGCGATTCAATCACTCCCAGTGCAGAGCGACTCTCAAGTTCAACATCATCCACCCTCCTCCTTCTCACCCTCCTCCTCTTACTATCACGCGCTGGGACTCATCATCCCCAGTGTGGCGCAGCCATGGAGTGTGCAGGCTCTGCAACTGCACGAGAGTCCCATGGGCCGGATGGAACCCAGGCGCCTTGGCGAGGATGACGAGGATGGGGACATTGGCCTGTGCCACCCAGTTTAGCTCCCCGCGCCAGCTCACATGCCACACACGACGACAGCGCAGCTCCTCGTCGTCATAGAATAGTTTTCATTGCCGCAAACCGCTCCCCCCCCCCCCCCCCCCCTTAACGATGGGGTAGGGGAATCGTGGGGGGGTAGGAACACATTTTCATAGCCCAGCACTTGGTTACTAAGAGGCCCAGCTCCTCTCTGTTGGGTCCAGAGTCAGAATTAGTCCTGGGCCTCCCCTAGCTCGACTCGGCCTCAAAATGAGTACCTGGTGAGATGTGTGAACATCGCCACTGGGGAGAGAAAGACGAGCGGGCGTGGTGCTGGCCACGAACCCCTTCATAGGTGCCGTGCCGGCCTTCATAGGTGCTCGCGAACAGCGCTTGCCCCAACAGTCTGTTCCAGGCTATACGGGGGATCTTTGTCTTTGTTGCCAAAGGGGCAATGGTGGTGCAGGGCCCCACTCCCCACTCCCACATTGCCCGCCCCATCCGCTGGTGCCCGCCTGGTGGCGCTCCAAGCACGCGGTGAGAATTTTACTCGACTTGATTCTGTTCAAAGACTCGAATAATTTTGACAATAAAAAACACTTTTTTATTACACGCTTTTATTTAGCTCACTCTGTCTGTTGTTGTTGTCGTTGTTGTATCCTCAAATCTTGTAACTCAATTTTAACCCACTTCCCAATGTGGTATCGACTGAAAACTTGGTATACATATGTCATACCAATGTTAATACTATATTCTATCGTAACAAAAAAAAACTTTTTTTATTTTATTTTACCAGATGAGGCCCACTGCAGCTCTTTTTCACAAGCGACCTGGCCACAAATGATAAGCTCAACGAAATTGCTTATCGTGTGGAAATGTATTTCAGACAAAATACTCTGAACGCGTGATGTTGATTTCTAAATGTGAAGGGAAAAAATTGAGGGGCTGGAGAAAAATCCACGCGACCACGGGGAGATAGACACGCAAACTCCAAATAAACAGCAGCAGGCGTCAGGGTCGGGATTGAGGTCGTTAACATATCGCCCACCGCGGCGTCCAGCTGACCCAGGAAAGCCTCGCAGAGTTCTCTTCTTTCACGAGGGTCCTGGCCAAGCTTTGGCAGTGGGCGAAGCGATGCTTGCCGTGTGCCTATCCACATGAGGATGCGAATATCGCCCCTTCCAGCCGTGACGGCGTCTCGTGCCCAAGTCCCCCAACTCCTCTTGGCAGTGCGAATCGCGTCTGGAACTTGGCACGTCAGCACGCACTGCGACCAGTGGCGTGGGGCAGGCAAGGGGGTGCCTTGCCCCCACCCCCGTGGCCAAACGTACGAGTTGGGGGTCCCCTTGACAACCACCACCATGAGATTTGTTTTCAACAGCAGTGTATAAGAACAGACAACTTATTTCGTGAAGACGGAGCGCCCCTACAGCGTGAAATGTTCGAGACCGTGAGCGTAACGACGATGTGACGAGGCAAGAGGAGCCGCGATGTCTCACAGCCTCGAGGTGCCACCGTGCGAGACGAATCAAACATTGGGGCCCCTCCTGACCCATTGCAGCAACCCCTGAGCGGACGATGTCGTTACGACGACGCCACTGACTGTGAATGGCTGATGTCAATCGTGATGATGTCCCGCAAGGACTAGACAGCTGAAATGTGGCACGAATATACAGAGTCGAATTCTTGGGTTTTTTCGGTAAAGTCACGTAGGTAAAAAATAAAAATTAACAAAAGTCAAATAAAAATAAAATAAAATCACGACGTTTCGGAGGCAACACAAGCTTCCGTCTTCAGGTGGAACAGTCACAGCACGACTGAAGACGGAAGCTTGTGTTGCCTCCGAAACGTCGTGATTTTTATTTTATTTTTATTTTACTTTTATTAATTTTTATTTTTACTTTTTACCTACGTGACTTTACCGAAAAAACCTAAGAATATGAATCCTTGCAGTCACGAAAGCTTCAAATCTATAATTAATACAGAGTCGAGTCTCACGACTGTAACTGGAAGAAAAACCCAACAACACTTCCCGAATTATATCTCCAAAAATGCGGGCGCTGAGGTTGTGATAGGTGCCGTCACGCGGCAGGGCAGGCGGACACAGCTGCAGCCAGAGGTCGACATTGCTCGCGTTCAACACAGACAAAGACTCCCCCCCCAGTGTCGACTCTAACAGGCTGCTGGAGCAAGTGCCGTGGGAGGGTGGCAGTACGAAGACGAGCACAGCCCACGGGAGACCAACGGCCACGCTCGGCCGCCTTTGTCTCCCCTGGAGCGACGCGTGACACTCACCCATCCCCGCGCCCGCCGGCAGCATCAGTGGACGGGGTGGTGGAGTGTGACGGTGAAGCCGATAGAAAGTGAATGCGAGTTACTAAGGGCCGGTGAGAGGGGTGAGGAGAAATAGTGAGTGGGGTTGCAGTGGCGAGTGAGAGATGGTGAGTGAGGTGATGGTGAGTGAGGTGATGGTGAGTGAGGTGATAGTGATGGTGAGTGAGGTGATGGTGAGTGAGGTGATGGTGAGTGAGGTGATAGTGATGGTGAGTGAGGTGATGGTGAGTGAGGTGATGGTGAGTGAGGTGATAGTGATGGTGAGTGAGGTGATGGTGAGTGAGGTGATGGTGAGTGAGGTGATAGTGATGGTGAGTGAGGTGATGGTGAGTGAGGTGATGGTGAGTGAGGTGATAGTGATGGTGAGTGAGGTGATGGTGAGTGAGGTGATGGTGAGTGAGGTGATGGTGAGTGAGGTGATAGTGATGGTGAGTGAGGTGATGGTGAGTGAGGTGATGGTGAGTGAGGTGATAGTGATGGTGAGTGAGGTGATGGTGAGTGAGGTGATGGTGAGTGAGGTGATGGTGAGTGAGGTGATAGTGATGGTGAGTGAGGTGATGGTGAGTGAGGTGATGGTGAGTGAGGTGATAGTGATGGTGAGTGAGGTGATGGTGAGTGAGGTGATGGTGAGTGAGGTGATAGTGATGGTGAGTGAGGTGATGGTGAGTGAGGTGATGGTGAGTGAGGTGATGGTGAGTGAGGTGATAGTGATGGTGAGTGAGGTGATGGTGAGTGAGGTGATGGTGAGTGAGGTGATGGTGAGTGAGGTGATAGTGATGGTGAGTGAGGTGATGGTGAGTGAGGTGATGGTGAGTGAGGTGATGGTGAGTGAGGTGATAGTGATGGTGAGT